GAGAGAGAGAGAGAAAGGTCTTCTTTTTTCCGTTGGTTCACCCACCAAGTGGCTGCCAAAGCTGGCGTGTTGCGGCCGGTGCGCTGTCCGATCCAAAGCCAAGAGCCAGGTGCTTCCTCCCGGTCTCCCATGTGAGTGCAGGGCCCAAGGACTTGGGCCATCCTCCACTGCCTTCCTAGGCCACAGCAGAGAGCTGGAATGGAAGAGGAGCAGCTGGGACAGAATCTGGTGCCCCAACCGGGACTAGAACCCAGGTGTCTCACTTACTCTTAAAGGTGCATCATAGTGTGATTGTAAAGGCCAAGTTGAATGTGGACAGCCATCTCTTATGCTTCTTTGTAGTCTAGACAGACAGTAAACTGCTCCTCACATTACTCCTATTTATATTCTTACTATTTTCCCAAAATGGAGTTTAATGGGTATGTAATTCTCCTACTTTGAATAGTGGCAAATGTGATTTGGAAAAATATGCTTTGGGCAAGAAAATAGATGACTGAAATCTGGGAGAAAAGTGGTATCATCTCCTTCACATCTTCAGAGGGCATTCTGAGGGCCTGCTTTCCTTCATTTACTCTCATCCTATGTTTCTTCAGGCAATATTTAGCCTTTTAGATAGCCCTTTTCTCTACCTTTGACCTTGTGCAATGTGTTTCTTCATGAATTCCCTATTAATGTATGTGGCACAGTTTTATATTAGGTTCATCTGTTCCTTCAATTACAATTATTCAAAGGAAATTACCTACTGAGTGTTGGTGGGGTGATTTCTTTTATAGCATGAATTGCCACATTTACATTCATGTTTTTATGGTAAAATATGTATCATTTCATGGTTGTGGTTATCAGCTTTTCTATAGAATTTTCTCTTTCTGGAATTTCTGTTTGTTTTCTATCTTCTATCATGTCTAAAGGGCAGGGGAAACAACATTGTTGTGGGGAGCAACCTGGACTAGACTAAGTTACTGGAATTAAGACTTATTCTATGCATCTGCTCTCCACAATATGGCGCTGAGAAGGGAGAAACAGCTTCTACGCAGCTGCCTCCAGTTCAACCAATAAACTGTAGGACCTGCTCCTGATTGGAGGAGAGCAGCGTACTCGGCGTGTGGGTAGCAGAGTTGGGATTGGTGGAAGAGGACTATAAAGGAGGAGAGAGACAACATGCACCAGGAACATCTAAGGGGAACATCTGAAGGAACACCTGTGCAGCCCCCGAGAGAGCCGGCCGGCGGTGTGCCACTCCCCTGCGGAAGTGGGGAAAGTGGCCAGGGGGAACCGCCCTTCCACGGAGGTGGAAGGGTCGGTAGCCAACCCGGGAAGAACCAGCAGCAAACCCGGGAAGGGCCGAGCAGACAAAAGAACAGCGCAGGGTCCTGTGTCGTTCCTCCACGAAGAGGGGGAGCGACAGGCTGCATCTTTCACAGTGTAGATGCAGCCCCTCAACGACACGTCACCCCCACTCAGACCAGCCCTGCCCACTCCCTGCCAAAGCTCCTCTGGACACCGGGTGTGTCTGTGCCGCCACCCCTCTCTCTTAGCTCATAGGCCCCAGGGCGGCCATCTACCCTGCCTCTACTCTTAGGGGCTTCCCACACAACCCAGACACACAGCTCTGGGACTGGCAATCCAGGGGGGAACCCGGGCCAGGGCTCCAGAGGAGGACAAAGCCAGCAGCACCCACCGAGCACAATCAGAGACAAGGGTGCTGCCTGCACCCCGCAGGCCCCGAGGCCAGGATACTCGTACTCGAAGGAGATGCGCGTGCAGTCCACAGAGAGGGTGTTCTCCTCGTCTTCGTTTCGGTGGTTGTGCCGGGACACGTGGCGCTGCAGGACGCCGACGTCCGTCACATACTTCATTCTGCAAAGTGCCACAGGCCGGGGCTGGCTTGTGAGAAGCTGTGCTTGTCCACACAGGCCCCATAACCTGGCTGTAGGGTCCAGGCAAGGCCCCACCCAGCAAGGAAGGGTACCACAGGGGTAGCTCTGCACTGCCAAGTTCAAGGGTCACCAGGCACTTGCTTTCCCACAGCAGCCATCAGCGCAGGGAGGAGCAGACTCTGCTGTCCTTACCCACAGACCCCTGTCCCTACTATCCGCTGGCCTCTGGGAGCCAGCCGGGCCCCATCAGCCCACGTGGTCAAGCGGACAGACCTCAGCAGTGACGGGCACCCACCCCCCTCACCCACGGTGGCTCGGCTGGCCTGGGACCCAGTGGGAAGTAGTTACTGGGCCCCAAAGCACCGTGAAGCTGGAGCTTTCGGTAGCGTTCAAAGACCTGGACACACACAGGGGAGTCCCTAAGTGGAGGCAGCGTACGGGGCTGTGGCCAGGCAACAGCTCAGGGACACGTGCATGGGCCCCTGACTCCGGAGGGCCAGTGCCTCAGGTTGGAGGTCCCTGTGGACCCTCTCAGATGTCCTGCCTGACAACTGTCACCTCATTGGGAGGGGGATGGGAGAAGAACCATCCATCCCAGGGCAGCCTTGTGGCTGGGGTCGGAGGTCAGGTGAGGGCAAAAGGCCATTCTGCTCCACAGCAGCCCTCACACAACCCTACCCGGCTGCCGCTTGCCTCTGAGACCAACTCCCACTCGCTGGCAGGGCACCCAGGGCCTTTGCTGGGACACCTCCCCACCATGCCTGAGCCAGCCCTGCTCCAACAGACTGTGAGACTGAGCGCCTTCCTTTGCTCGCTGGCTCCACCTGGTGGACACATAGGGGTAGAGGACGAGGCCAGCCCAGGCCGCGGTCACCCCTATGGGGAGGTCCTGATACTAAGCCCTTTCTGGGTGACAAAGGCCCAGCCCAAGGTGGAGGGCCAGCCCCTCACTCATTCTCTACAGGACCCCAGGGTGAAGCTGTCCCCACGTCTCCACTGCAACCTCACGACATAGGGCCGACCCTGGAAGCGAGACAACCCGTCCTTACTGTGTGATCTTGTCCTGCACCCACTGGTCCGTGAGTCCCACGATGGCCCACCTGGAAGGAGAGGAGAAGGCAATAGAACCTGGCCCAGGCTCAGCGGGCTCTGGGGTATGCAGTGAGGTGGCAGGACGGGATGGGGGGGCCCAAGCTCCACCCTCCAAGAGCATCGTGCCAGTGTGGTCAGACCCTGGCCTGTTCTCCCTTGAGGTTGACAAACTCAAGGCAGGAAAACCTCAGGACAGGGAAGGCAGCTGTGACCCAAGCCCACACTCCTGGCGGCTCCCATGCTGCTGTCTCTGCCCTTGTCCTGCACCCCCCGGCCGACAGCAAGTGGAGCCAGTGTGCTCCAGCAGCAGAGGCCTGCACTAGGCGGCTAGTGCCTGGCACGCTGCTTCAGCCGAGACACTCGTATCACCCGCCCCACAGCACAGCCAAACCCTACTCCTAACCATGTCTTCTTGTCCTGCAGTGTCAGATGGTGGGAAAGGGCCCGGTGTCGTGGCGTAGAAGGTTAAGCCTCCATCTACAGCACCAGCATCTCATATGGACGCCAGTTTGAGTCCTGGCTGCTCTACTTCCGATCCAGCTCCCTGCTAATGCACCTGGGAAAGCAGTGGAAGATGGCCCACATGCTTGGGCCACTGCCACTCACATGGGAGACCTGGAAGGAACTCCTGGCCCCTGGCGGGGAAGTACAGTAACAGCTTTTAGGCCTCCCGAGAACCTTCAAAGATCCTGTCCGCAGACTCATCATTTATCGATGACCAGGTCAACCCTCCACTGGAGGGATCCAGGGGCAGGCCTGCGCACAGTGGTTAAGTTGTCACTTCAGATGCCTACGTCCCATTCAGGAGTGCCTGGTTTGAGGCTGTTCTGTTTCCAAGCCAGCTTCCTGCTGATGAGCACCCTGGGAGGCAGAAATGATGACTCAAGTTCTTAGGTCCCTGCCACCCACATGAGACCTGGACTGAGTTCCATGCTCCTGCTATTGTGGGCATTTGGGGGACGTGAACCAGCAGATGGAACATCTCCCTCTGGCTACATCTTTCACAAATAAAATATAAATAATTTTTAAAGATTTATCTTATTTTTTATTTGAAAGAGAGAGGGAGAGAGACAGATATCTTCCATCCACTGGTTCACTCCCCAAATGGTCACAACACTCAGGGCTTGGCCAACCTGAAGGCAGAAGCTTGGAACTCCTTCCAGGTCTCCCACATGGGTGGCCGAGGCCCAAGCACTTGGGCTATCCTCCGCTGCTTTCCCAGGTGCATTAGCAGGAAGCTGGATCAGAAGTGGAGCAGCTGGGACTCAAACTTGTGCTCACATGGGAAGCTGGTGTTGCAGCCAGTGGCTTAACCTGCTGTGCTACAATACTGGCCCCTATAAATAAATTAAAAAAAAAAAAAAAAAAAAAAAGAGGGAATGGGGACCAGTACTACGGCGCAGCAGTTTAAAGCCCTGATCTGCAGCGCCAGCATCCCATATGGGTATCAGTTCAAGTCCCAGCTGCTCCATTTCTGATCCAGCTCTCCACTAATGTGCTGGGGAAAGCAGCAGAGGATGGCCCAAGTGCTTCAGCCCCTGCAAGCATGTGGGATACCTGGAAGAAGCTCCTGGTTCCTGATTTCAAATCAGCTCAGCTGTGGGCAGTGCAGCCATCTGGGGAGTGAACCAGCAGATGGAAGACCTCTCTGTTTCTATCTCTCTCTGTAATTCTGTCTTTCAAATGAATAAAATAAATCTTTTTTTTTTTTTTTTTTTTTTGACAGGCAGAGTGGACAGTGAGAGAGAGAGACAGAGAGAAAGGTCTTCCTTTGCCCTTGGTTCACCCTCCAATGGCCACCGCGGCTGGTGCACCGCGCTGATCCGATGGCAGGAGCCAGGTGCTTCTCCTGGTCTCCCATGGGGTGCAGGGCCCAACCACTTGGGCCATCCTCCACTGCACTCCCTGGCCACAGCAGAGAGCTAGCCTGGAAGAGGGGCAACCTGGACAGAATCCGGTGCCCCGATCGGGACTAGAACCTGGTGTGCTGGCGCCGCAAGGCAGAGGATTAACCTAGTGAGCCGCGGCGCTGGCCATAAATCTTTTTTTAAAAACTTATTTATTTATTTGAAAGTCACAATTACACAGAGAGAAAAGGAGAGGCAGAGAGAGAGGTCTTCCATCTGTTGGTTCACTTCCCAATTGGCTGCAGCGGCAGGAGCTGTGCCAATCCAAAGCCAGGAGCCAGGAGCTTCTTCCGGGTCTCCCAGGTGGGTGCAGAGGCCCAAGGGTTTGGGCCATCTTCTATTGCTTTCCCAGGCCATAGCAGAGAGCTGGATTGGAAGTGGAGCAGCCGGTCTCGAACTGGCACCCCAGACACTGCAGGCAGCAGCTTTACCAGCTACACCACAATGCCAGCCACAAAAATAGATCTTCAAAAACAAAAAAAGAGAGCTGGGCCCTGGTGAGACCTGTCGTCCCAGGTGTACCATCTGTTGGTCTCTGGCCACTGTCCTTTAATACCTTGCTCTGGGCTCATGGCTGAGACCAGCAGAGGACGCTCCACCCAGAAAGAGGCAGGGAGGCCATGGTTCTCCTGGGGGGGGGGGGAGACAGGGTGTCTGGACACCCCCATCAAGTCCCTCAGGGCAGTGCGCTCTGCAGGGACCTCCTTGGAAAATGCTACTCTGGGGCCGGCGCTGCGGCTCAATAGGCTAATCCTCCGCCTGCGGCACTGGCATAGTGGGTTCTAGTCCCGGTCGGGGTGCTGGATTCTGTCCCGGTTGCCCCTCTTCCAGGCCAGCTCTCTGCTGTGGCCAGGGAGTGCAGTGGAGGATGGCCCAAGTGGTTGGGCCCTGCACCCCATGGGAGACCAGGAGAAGCACCTGGCTCCTGCCATCGGATCAGCGCGGTGCGCCGGCCACAGTGGCCATTGGAGGGTGAACCAACAGCAAATGGAAGACCTTTCTCTCTGTTTCTCTCTCTCACTGTCCACTCTGTCTGTCAAAAAAAGAAAAGAAAAGAAAAAGAAAATGCCACTCTGGGTGTCTCCCCAGACAGACCCTGCTTCCTGCTGATCTTCCCACGCTGGCATTTTATGTCATGTGACTTCCCAAGTGTTCTTGTGTGACGTGTGGGGTTTTCTGGCAGTGCCACTGAACTGAGAGGCTCACAGTGGGGTGGGCTTGTCAAGGGCACCACTGAGCACACAGTAGTAGGCCCTCACTAAAAGCAGCCGCACCCCAAGTGCTTATGAGCCGCATCGCGCTGCAGGATCCCGGGTCTGGGCGTGGGGATTACTAGTCCGTGCCACAGGGGAGCAAGGCGGTCGAGGACCTGGAGCCTGGCGCCAGCTTGCAGTCCAGGGATGAGAGCTGAGGGCTGGCAGGCTGGCATGAGGGTGATAAGAGCATCCCTGGGTCCACATGGCACCAGGCCCCCGCTGTCCTGAGGCCCGACTCAATGCAGGCCCTTAAAACCCCATCCATGGCAGTCAGAGCAGAATGGGCCTTGGCAGCATTAGAGAACCAGGACCCCCAGTGCAGGGCGAGGCGGTAGAGCCAGGCCAGTCCCACACTTTCCTCACTTAGACTGAATATTTCATTTCTATAGCAAAGGTCTCCTGGTCCATGTCCAGGGGGCCTTGCCTGCAGCCTGCACAGCAAACTCAAGAGGCAGGGAGGGGCCAGTGCTGTGGCGTAGGAGGCTAAATGGCCTACAGTGCCGGCATCCCATAGGGGCGCTGGTTCAAGTCCCAGTGGCTCTTCTTCTGATCCAGCTCTCTGCTGTGGCCTGGGAAAGCAGTGGAAGATGGCCCATATCCTTGGGCCCCTGCACCCACATGGGAGACCAGGAAGAAGTTCCTGGCTCCTGGCTCCTGGCTTTGGATCAGTGCAGCTCTGGCCCTTGCGGCCATCTGGAACTAGCGGACGGAAGACCTCTCTGTCTCTTCCTCTCTCTGTGACTCTACCTCTCAAATAAATAAATCAAATTAAAAAAAAAAAAGAGGCAGGACTCAAATGTACCAAGCACAGGGCTGCGCCCCAGTCTCACCCTCCCGCCCTTGAACAGTCTCACTGCTGGGAAGAAGAGCAGAGTCACGCACGTTCCCACAACGGGCAACTGTTTGCCGTGGACGAGAGTCAGCGCCCACGGGGAGTCTGGGGTGTTGCAGGGCGCTACGTACCACAACATGTCGTTCAGGTCCTTGGACATCATCCACGCCAGGTCAAACATCACCATGGCCGACTGCAAGGAAGCAGAGAAGCCTGAGGACAAAGGGAGCCGAGCTCGTGAAGTGCAGTGCAGCGGGGCCAGACCTGAGCCAGCAGGAGGCCCTGGCTGAGCCCCTCAGGTGCAGGGTTGGCCTGGCTAAGGCATACAAGCGAGTTCCTGCCCAACGTGCGGAACAAGCATACACTAAACCAGGGAGAGGGGGCCGGCGCTGTGGCAAGCCTCCGCCTGCGGCGCCGACATCCCATACGGGCACCATTTCTAGTCCCAGCTGCTTCTCTTCCGATCCAGCTCTCTGCTGTGGCCTGGGAAAGCAGTAGAAGATGGCCCAAGTCCTTGGGCCCCTGCACCCACGTGGGAGACCCAGAAGAAGTTCCTGCCTTTGGATTTGCTCAGCTCCGGCCATTACGGGCATCTAGGAAGTGAACCAGCGGATGCAAGACCTTTCTGTCTGTCTCTTCCTCTTTCTGTCTGTAACTCTACCTCTCAAATAAATAAAACATCTTTAAAAAAAAATTTTAAAAAGAGCAAGCTTAGCGCCCCCTTTTTCTCTGCTCCCTGTTTGAGATGTACCCACTTGTTCCTCTACGCACGCCCACTGTAATTCTGCTTTCCACAGTTCGGGCCTCACTAGGGGCGGAATCAGGGCCCCCACCCCAACCCGACCAGATCTTGGACTTTAAGCTAAATAAACGCCAGGCTGAGCTTCCTCCAGGGGCGGCATTTCCAAGGGAAGTGGCCACATATCCCGAGAGCGACAGCCTCTCTCTGAGGCAGGTTAACACCCTCCCCACCCACTGCCTATAATGTTCCATTCTCCAGGGCTGAGCAGAAGGGACGGAAGGATGATCTCTCAAGGACGAGGGATGTTGGAAAAGGCCGTGCTCAGCGTCTCCAGGCCCCGTAGCCAATTCTAAGACTAAATGCAGGATGTTTTACTGGGAAGGAGCTGTCTCCAGCTCCTCTAGGCCCTACGCTCTGCTCCACGCTAATGCAGGTTTGCCACACTAATTCTGCTCTGTAGGTTATGGACGGGTTATATTTCTCTACGGAGGAGGAGGTGAAGGAGGAGGAGGAGAAGGAGGAGCTGTTGTTTAAGGCTCAGAGGGGCTGCACCATCTGTCCAAGGTCACATTGAGGAAGGCTGGGGAGCTCAGTTCCAAACCAGCCTTTTGTGTGTTTCCAAACCTGTGCTCCAGGGGCTGGTGTCATGGCGTAGCATAGTAAGCTGCTGCTTGCAATGCCTGCACCTCCTATGGGAGTGGTGGCTCTGCTTCTGATCCAGCCTCCTGCTAATGCGCCTGGGAAAGCAGCAGAGCATGGCCCAAGTCCTGCTATCCATGTGAGAGACCTGGATGGAGTTCCAGGCTCCTGGCTTCGGACTGGCCCAGCCCTGGCTGTTGTGGCCATTTGGGGAAGTGAACCAGCAGATGGGAGATTCTCTGTGTCATTCTGCCTTTCAAATAAATAAATCTTCAAATAATGGAATTATAAAAGCCCAGGCTCCATTCTTCTGCTCTGGGAGAGGGACGCCCGCAGAGGAACTACACCTGTTCGTACTTACTGAAGTCCCGTGATACTCGTACTGCTCGTAGTCAAAGAGGATGTCTCTCCTGGAACGACACAAAACGTAGGTCTTGGACAGGTGCCAAACATTGGCGAAAACGTGACAATCTGACAGTGACCACAGAAATGCCAATGAAATCACTTACTTTTTTTTGTTTTAGCAGAATATTTATAAGGGCACTTCACAAAGCTTGTGGAAACACAGATTTAAAAGGACGTTTAGAGTGTGGCATTTAGCACAGCAGTCAGGATGCTACTCGGGAAGCCGGCATTCCATGGAAGGGAGCCTAGGTTGGAGCTGAGCTCTGCTTCCGATCCCAGCTTCCTGCTAACTCACGTCCTGGGAGGCCACAGTGACCACTCAAGTACTTGGGTCTCTGCCTCCCACATGGGAGACCTGGACTGAGTTTCAGGTTCCTGGCTTTGGCCTGGCATGGTACCAGCTGTTGTGGGCATTTTGGGGGAGTGAACCACAGGATGGAAGATCTCTGTATGCCTGTCTGTTTCTGTCTCTCTCTGCCTCCATAATTACTAAGAAATAAATTTAAAGGGGCTGGTGCTGTGGCGCAGCAGGTTAAAGCCCTGGCCTGAAGAGCCAGCATCCCATATGGGTGCCGGTTCTAGTCCTGGCTGCTCCTCTTCCGATCCAGTTCTCTGCTATGGCCTGGGATAGCAGTGGAGGATGGCCCAAGTCCTTGGGCCCCGGCACCCAAGTGGGAGACCCAGAGGAGGCTCCTGGCTTCAGATCGGCGTAGCTCCAGCCATTGCGGCCATCTGGGGAGTGAACCAGCGGATGGAGGACCTCTCTGTTTCTGTCTCTCTCTGTAACTCTGTCTTTCAAATAAATAAAATAAATCTTTAAAAAAAAGTAAACTTAAAAATGTCTAGAAGACTGGCATTGTGGTACAACAGGTTGAACAATGTTGGCAGTGCAATATATTGACATGGTGGATCAAGCCCTGGTGGCTCCACCTCCAATCCAGCTCCCTGCTAATGTACCTGGGAAAGCAGCAGTTGATGGCCCAAGTACATGGGCCCCTGCTACTCCCATGGGAGTCCCAGAGGAGTTCCAGGCGCCTGGCTTTGGCCTGGCCCAGACTGGGCCATTGATGCCATTTGGGAAGTAAACCAGAGGATGGAAGGTCTCTCTCCCTTTCTGTCTCTTCCCATCTCTCTCTCTCTCTCTTTTTTCCCCCCAAAGATTCATTTATTTATTTATTTGGAAGTCAGAGTTACAAAGAGAGAGATAGGTCTCCTATCCGCTGGTTCACTCCCAGTTGGCTGCAACATCTGGAGCTGCACCGATCTGAAGCCAGGAGCCAGGAGCTTCTTCCGGGTCTCCCACACGGGTACAAGGACCCAAGGACTTGGGTCACCTTTGGCTGCTTTCCCAGGCCATAGCAGACAGCTGGATCGAAAGTGGAACAGCCGGGACTTGAATTGGCACCCACATGGGGTGGCACTGCAGGCAGCGGTTTTACCCACTATGCTACAGCACCAGCCCCTCTTATCTCTCTTGGAAATAAACAAATAAAATTTTTTTTTTTTTTTTGACAGGCAGAGTGGACAGTGAGAGAGAGAGACAGAGAGAAAGGTCTTCCTTTGCCGTTGGTTCACCCTCCAATGGCTGCTGTGGCCGGCGCACCGCGCTGATCCGATGGCAGGAGCCAGGTACTTATCCTGGTCTCCCATGGGGTGCAGGGCCCAAGCACTTGGGCCATCCTCCACTGCACTCCCGGGCCACAGCAGAGGGCTGGCCTGGAAGAGGGGCAACCGGGACAGAATCCGGCGCCCCAACTGGGACTAGAACCCGGTGTGCTGGTGCCGCAAGGTGGAGGATTAGCTTAGTGAGCCACGGCGCTGGCCAAATTAATTATCTTTTTTTAAAAAAGATAAGCTTAAGGGCAGGCATTTGGCCTGGCATTTAACATGCTCACCTCTCACAGTAGAATACCTGAGTTCAATCCTCACCTCTGGCTCAATTCCCGCTTCCCGCTAATACAAACCTTGGGAAGCAGCAGTGATGGCTAAAGTAATTGGGACCTTGCCACCCATGTGGGAGACCTGGATTGTGTTCCTGTCTCCTGGTTTCAGCCTCAACTCCTTCCCTGTCACCACTGGATGGGGTCTCTCTCTGCCTCTCAAATAGAGAGATAAATAAAGGTTTACTTTGGTGCAAATATATTCTGAAATCCATGCATAATTTTTTTCATAAAACACATTTTCCATGTACTCTTTTTTTAAAAAAATTATTTTATTTATTTGAAAGAAAGGCAGAGTAACAGAGAGAAAAACAAAAAGAAAGAGATTGGGGCCAGTGCTGTGGCATAGCTGCCAGAATCCCATATGGGCTGAGTTTGAGTCCCAGCTGCTCCACTTCTGATCCAGCTCTCTGCTATGGCCTGGGAAAGCAGTAGAAGATGGCCCAAGTCCTTGGGCCCCTGCACCCATGTGGGAGACCCGGAGGAAGCTCATGGCTCCTGATCAGTACAGCTCTAGCCGTTGCAGCCATCTGGAGAGTAAGCCAGCGGATGGAAGACCTCTCTCTCTCTCTCTGCCTCTCCTTCTGTCTCTGTGTAACTCTGACTTTCAAATAAATAAATAAATCTTAAAAAAAAAAAAAAAAAGGAAAGAGATCTTTATCCTCTGGGTTAATCTCTGAAGGTTCAATGGCCAGGGCTGGGCCAGGTAGAAGCCAGGAGCCTGGGACTCCACCTGGGTCTTCCACCTGGGTGGTAGGAGCTCAAGGACTTGGGCCATATCTGCTGCCTTCCCAGGCACGTTAGCTGGGACATGGATCAGAAGTGGAGCTCGGGACTCAGAATCAGCACTCCAAATGGGATGATGGCATCAAATGCAGCTGCTTGACTCACTGCACCACAGCAATAGCCCCTTCTGTGTACTTTGAGAAAACTTCTAATACACAAACACTACAACATTCTTTTGTGGGGCTGGCGCTACGGTGTAGCAGGTGAAACCGCCGCCTGCAGTGCCGGCATCCCATATGGGTGCCAGTTCAAGTCTCAGCTGCTCCCCTTCCGATCCAGCTCTCTGCTATGGCCTGGGAAAGCAATAGAGGATGGCCCACCTTGCACCTGTGTGGGAGACCTGGGAGAAGCTCTTGGCTTTGGATCAGCCCAGCTCTGGTCACTGTGGCCATCTGGGGAGTGAACCAGCAGACAGAAGACTCCTCTCTTTCTGCCTATCTTTCAAATAAAGAAATCTTTAAAAAAAAAAAACCATATTTTTTGCATCAAAATAAACTTATATTTTAATTCTACTTTCCATGAACTTTTTGAAGTACCCTTCTACATACAACACTAGGAAAAAGGCAGTAAAATACATAGTCCCCAAATCCTACTTCAAAGTGTCAAGCAAGATAAAACTTATAAAGTTATTCACTGCAGCCTTAAGTGTAATGGCAAAAAACCGGAAGTTACCCACAGTTCAGAAAGAAGGAAAATCGACAATTAAATACTGCGCAGTTTTGAAAAGGCCATTCAGAACCATCTCAAACGGTTGTATTAAGTAGAAAAATATGGGGCTGGCGCTATGGCATAGCGGGTAAAGCCATCGTCTGTAGAGTCAGCATCCCATATGGACACCGGTTCAAGTCCTGGCAGTTCCACTTCCAATCAAGCACCCTGCTAATACACCTGAGAAGAGTAGTAGAAGATGGCCCATGTACATGGGACCTTGCACCCATGTGGGAGACCCAGATGAAGCTCCTGGCTCCCGGATTTGGCCTTGCTCAGCTCTGGCCATTGCAGCCATCTGGGAGGGAATCAGCGGATGGAAGATCCATCTCTCCCTCTCTCTCTGTAACTCTGCCTTTCAGGTAAGTAAATAAATCTTAAAAAAGTCAAAAAATGCAAAAACTAGATGCACATTCTGATTATGTAAAATATACCTGAGTATGCATAAGACATGAAGAGAAACCCAAACCCAGAATCTCTTTGAATTAGTAGTGAGATTGTGGATTACTTTCAGGTGCCTTTCCTCACACCTTCTGAGATGGTTTGACACTGTCCTCACCCACGGGGGTGGCCCTCTCTCCCAGACCAGCCAGCGGAACTCTTGACCTAAGCCGGCACAGAAGAAACACCGGCTGGACAGCCCACCACGTCCTTCAAGGATGAGTCCACAAAGAAGCCCCCGGAATCCACTCAAATATGCGGCCGTATGTGCCCCTCAAGCTAGAATTTCCCGTATTTTCATCTTAAAGCACTTCGATTACTTCACATTAGCAACAGGAATAATTATAGATAACTCAGCTCCTTCTTTGTATTTTTTTAATTTATTTTATTTAAGAGTTACAGACAGTGGGCTGGCGCCGCGGCTCACTAGGCTAATCCTCCACCTAGCGGCGCCAGCACACCGGGTTCTAGTCCCGGTCGGGGCACCGGATTCTGTCTCGGTTGCCCCTCTTCCAGGCCAGCCCTCTGCTGTGGCCCGGGAGTGCAGTGGAGGATGGCCCAGGTGCTTGGGCCCTGCACCCCATGGGAGACCAGGATAAGTACCTGGCTCCTGCCATCGGATCAGCGCGGTGCGCCGGCCACAGCAGCCATTGGAGGGTGAACCAACGGCAAAGGAAGACCTTTCTCTCTGTCTCTCTCTCTCACTGTCCACTCTGCCTGTCAAAAAAAAAAAAAAAAAAAAAAAAAAAAAAAAAAAAGAGAGAGTTACAGACAGTGAGAGAGAGAGAGAGAAAGGTCTTCCCTCCGTTGGTTCACTCCCCAAACAGCCACAATGGCCGGAGCTAAGCCGATCCGAAGCCAGGAGCCAGGAGCTTCTTCCGGGTCTCCCACGTGGGCGCAGGGGCCCAAGGACCTGAGCCATCCTCTTCTGCCTTTCCAGGCCACAGCAGAGAGCTGGACTGGAAGAGGAGCAGCCGGGACTAGAACTGGAACCCACGTGGGACGCTGACGCTGCAGATGGAGGACGAACCTACTGTGCCATGGTGCCGGCCCCTGTATTTTTTTCTATTAAAACTTTTTCGCCGGCGCCGTGGCTCAATAGGCTAATCCTCCGCCTTGCAGTGCCGGTACACCGGGTTCTAGTCCCAGTCGGGGAACCGGATTCTGTCCTGGTTGCCCCTCTTCCAGGCCAGCTCTCTGCTGTGGCCAGGGAGTGTAGTGGAGGATGGCCCAAGTGCTTGGGCCCTGCACCCCATGGGAGACCAGGAGAAGCACCTGGCTCCTGGCTTTGGATCAGCATGGCGGCCATTGGAGGGTGAACCAACGGCAAAAGGAAGACCTTTCTCTCTGTCTCTCTCTCTCACTGTCCTCTCTGCCTGTCAAAAAAATAAAAAATAAAAAAATAAGAAAAAAACTAAACATTTTCACAGGAGCCAGCATTGTGGCACAGCAGGTAAGGCCACCACCTGTGACGCTGTCATCCAATGTGAGTGCCAGTTTAAGTCCTGCCTGTTCCACTCCCAATCTATCTCCTGTCTAATGACCTGGGAAAAGCAGCAGCAGATGGCTGAACTGCCACCCACGTGGGAGATCCCGATGAAGCGCCTGGCTCCTGGCTTCGGCCTGCCCCAGCACTGGCCATTGTGGCCATGTGGGGAGAGGACCCACTGGATGGAAGACCTCTTTCTCTCTCTGTCTCCCTCTCTTTCTGCAATTTTGCTTTTCAAAATGAATAAATAAGTCTTAAAAAAATGTTACACAATTGGCATACATTTCACTTTTGAAGAATTAGATGGAAGCATCTCTATCTGCAGAAGTCAGTCAACACAGAGCCAGGGTCACTGTCACTCACACACGGAGACTGGGGCCAGGCTTGTCGCTCATGGGACCAGAGGGCAACAGAGAGGGTGACCCAAGCTCTTCTCAAGGCGGGGGCCACACACTCACTCCTGGAGCTGCTAGCCCTGAAGGTCGGAGCTACATGCATTATTCTAAGACGAGAAAACAAAAACACGCGGCGCCCAGGGGTAGAGACAGGTGTTGGTGGCATCACAGGGCACAGGGAGAGCTACGGTAGGGAAGACTCACCTCCGGGCCTCCCATTCTCTCCGCTGCCTCCTCTTCAGGGTCCGCTCCAATATCTCCTGAGACAGGCACAAAGACAAGCAAACGTCAAGCAAACACTTCAGGAAGTCTCCCCACAGCCTGAGGGAACTCTGCCTGGGCAGAAGCCAGTGGGCTCGGACCCGTGTCCTGGGTGCACCTGCTCCTGGAGAATGAGCTGAAGCAGGGGGACGGCCAGGCCCCTAGCTGGCCCCCGGGCACCAGGGACACGGTGGACAAAGGCATAGAGTGGTCCCGGGCACCTGCTCTAGGCCAGACTCAGTGTTACAGCCATCCAGCGGTCCAGTATCCATGGGACCCGGATAGACCCCACTGCCGGGGACCTGCCTCCCCACTGGAATTAATGACAGCTAGTTTCTTTCTTTTTTTTTTTTTTTTATTTTTTGACAGGCAGAGTGGACAGTGAGAGAGAGAGACAGAGAGAAAGGTCTTCCTTTGCCGTTGGTTCACCCTCCAATGGCCGCCGTGGCCGGCGCGCTGCGGCTGGCGCACTGCGCTGATCCGATGGCAGGAGCCAGGAGCCAGGTGCTTTTCCTGGTCTCCCATGGGGTGCAGGGCCCAAGCACCTGGGCCATCCTCCACTGCACTCCCTGGCCACAGCAGAGGGCTGGCCTGGAAGAGGGGCAACCGGGACAGAATCCGGCGCCCCGACCGGGACTAGAACCCGGTGTGCTGGCGCCGCTAGGCAGAGGATTAGCCTAGTGAGCCGCGGCGCCGGCCGACAGCTAGTTTCTTACATTCTGCCATGTGCTGGCAGCTGTTCTAGTTTTACAACCAAGGGCACCGGTGTTGTGGTTTAGCGTCATAGGCCGCCACCTGCAATGCGTGCATCCCGAAAGGGCGCTGGCTCATGTCCCAGCTGCTCCACTTCCTATCCAGCTCCCTGCTATGGCCTGGGGAAAGCAGCAGAAGATGTCCCAAGTGCATCAGCCCCTGCTATGCACATGGCAGACCCGGAAGAAATTCTTGGCTTCCGCCTGGCCCAGCCCTGGCCATTGCGGGAATTTGGAGAGTAAACCAGCAGTTGGAAGATCTCTCTCTCTCTCTCCCTCTCTGTAACTCTGACTTTCAAATAAATAAATAAATCTTTCTTAAAAATTTTACAAGCAAAAAAAAATCTCATTAAGTTTTCACCACAAAGGCATGGGGGTAGCATGACAGTTTTTAAAACCCATGGTCAGGCCGGCGCCATGGCTCAGTAGGCTAATCCTCCGCCTGCGGCGCTGGCACACCAGGTTCTAGTCCCGGTCGGGGTGCTGGATTCTGCCCCGGTTGCCCCTCTTCCAGGCCAGCTCTCTGCTGTGGCCCAGGAGTGCAGTGGAGGATGGCCCAAGTGCTTGGGCCCTGCACCTGAGTGGGAGACCAGGATAAGCACCTGGCTCCTGGCTTCGGATCAGCGCGGTGTGCCGGCTGCGGTGGCCATTGGAGGATGAAGCAATGGCAAAGGAAGACCTTTCTCTCTGTGTCTCTCTCTCTCTCACTGTCTACTCTGCCTGTCAACAAACAAACAAACAAAAAAACACAAAAACAAACAAACAAACAAAAAAAACCAAAAAACATGGTCCTTGGGGCTGGTGCTGTGCCGTAGTGGGTTAAGCTGCCACCTGCAACATCACTATCCCATATGGGCGCTGGTTCAAGTCCTGGCTCCTTCACTTCTGATCTAGCTTCTCTGCTGTGGCCTGAGAAAGCAGTAGAGGATGGCCCAAGTCCTTGGGCCCCTACAGCCACATGGGAGACCCGGAAGAAGCTCCTGGCTTCGGATTGGCCCAACCTTGGCTGTTGCGGCCTTTTAGGGTGTGGACCAGCAGATGGAAGACCTTTCTCTCTCTATCTTCCCACCTCTCTGTAACTCTGCCTTCCAAACAAATAAATAAATCCTTAAAGGTAATAATAACACTCACAGGAACAAGACAAGAACTCCGCAGTGAAACCTACCTACCCTTCACCTGGAACACCTTGCATGGCAGGAGACTTATAGGCAAAAAACCCTCCACAGCAGCCAGTACTACCCAAGACAGCCCCTTTCTTCGCCTGCAGAGGAGAAGGGGAGCCTGAGACTGCTGCTCCTGTGAAGTTGTACCAAGCAACCCGACCCCTCAGCCAGGGTCCAGGGGGACACAGGAGCCAGGGAGGGAGTCACAGGTTGGTAACAAGCCTAGAGCCCCCCTCCCACCCAGAGTGTGGGCAGAGCATGGAGGTTCACTTATCACCCCCATCCCCAGCAGGAAGGCAGCCTGGGGGTATCAGAGGAGACAAAGCAGGGAGCCTGAACCTTTACTGTCCAGTGCGAACAAACAGCCACAACTGTCAGGGGTTAACAGAGGTCAGTGGGGGGCCTGAACTTTTTTTTGTTTATTTGTTTCTAAGATTTATTTTATTTATTTGAGAGACAGAGTTACAGAGAGAAGCAGAGACAGAGAGAGTGGTGTTACATCTGCTGGTTCACTCCCTAAATGGTGGCAACGACTGGAACCAGGCCAGCCTGAAGCCAGGAGCCAGAAGCTTCCTCCGGATTTTCCACAAGGGTGCAGGGGCCCAAGCACTTGGACCATCCTCTGCGGCTTTCCCAGGTGCATTTGCAAGGAGCTGGATTGGAAGTGGAGCAACCAAGACTCGAACTGTGTTCATATGACATACTAGTGCTACAGGCTGGGGTTTAACCTGCTGTGCCACAGTGCCGGCCCCCAAACTTTCTTTTAAAAAGATTTTTTTCTTATTTGAAAGGCAGAGTTACAGAGAGAAGAGAAGAGACACAGAGAGAAGAGACAGAGAGATTTTTCCATCCACTGGTTCACACCCCAAATGGCTGCAAAGGCTGGAGCTGGGCCAATTCAAAGCCAGGAGCTTCTTCCGGGTCTCCCATGTGGGTACAGGGGCCCAAGCACTTAGGCCATCTTCCACTGCTTTCCCAGGCCATAAGCAGAGAGCTGGATTGGAAGAAGAGCAGCTGGGACACAAACCGGTGCCCATATGGGATGCTGGCAGGGCAGGCAGAGGCTTAACCTACTGTACCACAGTGCCAGCCCCACTGCTCCACTTCTAATCCAGTCCCTGGCTGCTGTGACATTTGGGGAGTAAATCAGAAGATCTCGGTCTCTCTCTCTCTGTCTATCAAATAAATAAGTAAATCTGAGAAAGAAAAAAAAATGGAAGAATAAAAGAAAAATGATGGGTTAAGTTGACGACTCCAACTTTGGCATTCCTCGAGTGCCAGTTTATATTCGGCTGCTCCACTTCTGATCCAGCTCCCTGTTAACGTGCCTGAGAAAGCAAAAGATGCCCCGAGTGCTTGGGCCCCTGCTACCCATGTGGGAGACCTGGATGGAGTTCCATGCTCCTGGCTTTGGCCTGGCCTAGCCCTGGCCATTGCAGCCACTTGGGGAGTGAACCAGTGAATCGAAGATCTCACTCACTCACTCTGCCTTTCAAATAAATAAATAAACCTTTTTTTTTTTAAAGCAGCAAATGGAAGAAATTAACATCATTAATTAAAAGTACGTAATTGACATTCCCAGATCAGTCTAACCAAGAGCAGAACAGCGGCCGGTGCTGTGGCGTAGCAGGTAAGGCTGCTGCCTGCAGTGCTGGCATCCCATGTGGGTGCCGGTTTGAGTCCTGGCTAATCCACTTCCAATCTAGCCACTTCCGATCCAGCTCTCTGCTGTGGGATGGGAAAGCAGCGGAAGATGGCCCAAGTGCTTAGACCCCTGCACCTCCATGGGAGACCCAGAAGAGGCTCCTGGCTTTGGATCAGTGCAGCTCTAGCTGTTGTGGCCACCTGGGGAGTGAGCTGGCAGATGGAAGACCTCTCTCTCCCTCTGACTCTCTAATAAATAAATAAATCTTAAAAAAAAAAAAAGGCATAAAAGTGGACTGGCCTCCAGTGTCATTAAAAACAAAAGGTGAGGTACTGTTTCAGATTAAAAGCCAAGGTGGTGGTGGGGGGGCAGGGCTGAGGCACAGCGGGTAAAGCCGCCGCTTGCAGTGCCAGCATCCCATATGGGCGCAGGTTCAAGTCCTGGCTGCTCCACTTCTGACCCAGCTCTCTGCTACGGCCTGGGAAAGCAGTGGAAGATGGCCCAAGTCCTTGGGCCCCTGCACCTTCGTGGGAAACCTGGAAGAAGCTCCTGGTTCCTGGCTTTGGATCGGTGCAGCTCCAGCAGTTGCAGCCAATTGGGGAGTGAACTAGTGGATGGAAGCCCCCCCCCGCCCCCCCCGCCTGCCGCCTCTCCTTTTATCTCTGTGTAACTCTGACTTTCAAATAAAGAAATAAATCTTGAAAAAAAAAAAAAGATAAAGCAGGGGGCGGGGCTGGTGCTGTGGTATAGCAGGTAAAGCTGCTGCCTGCAGTGCCCACATCCCATATGGGCACCAGTTCAAGTCCCAGCTGCTCCATTTCCAAACCAGCTCCCTGCTGATGACCTGGGAAAGCAGTGGAAGATGGCCCAAGTGCCCACTTGGGGGACCCAGAAGAAGATTCTGGCTTCAGATCGACCCAGCTCCCGCCATTGCGGCCATTTGGGGAGCGAACCAGCAAATGGAAGACCTTTCTCTCTGTCTCTTCCTCTCTCTGTAACTCTGGCTCTCAAATAAATAAAATCTAAAAAACAAAAGATGAGGGGTGTTGTTGTGGCACAGTGGGATAAGCTGTAGCTTGGAACCCCCGCATCCCTAATTAGAGTACAGTCCCGTGCCAGCTGCTCTGCTTGACAGTCCCTACTGCCGCCCATGTGGGAAACCTGGATGGAGTTCCTGTCTCCGGCCTGGCCCAGCCGCAGCTGTTGTGGACATCTGGAGAGTGAATGAGCAGATGGGAGCTCTCTGTCACTGTTGTCTTTCAAACATATAAAGATAAATATAAAAAGATAAAACTGAAGAGAGAGGTGGGTGTTTGGGGTAGGGATTAAGTAGCTGTTTGGGATGCCCAATCCCATAGGAATGCTAGTTTCTCTGCTTCGGGTTCTAACTGCTTGTTAATGAGTACTCTGGGAGGCCACAGCGATGGCTCAGCCAAATGTCCACGCCCGATAGGAAATCTTGAAGTACCTTTACATTTGTTTGTTAGAGGGAATAATTCCAAAACTCTCATCTATAGAACATAAACATGGGGCCAGCACTGTGGCATAATGAATGGGTAAAGTCTCCGATTTATTTTATTTATTTGAAAGGCAGAATTACAGAGAGAGAGGGAGCGAGGGAGAGAAGGGGAGAGAGAGGGAGAGAAGGGGAGAGAGAGGGAGAGAAGGGGAGAGAGAGGGAGAGAGAGAGAGAAGGGGAGAGAGAGAGAGAGAGAGCAAGTTATGTTTCATCCACAGGTTCACTCCCCAAACGGCCACAACGGCCAGACCAAAGCCAGGAGCCAGGAGCTTCCTCCAGGTTTCCCACGTGGGTGCAGGGGCCCAAGCACCTGGGCCATCTTCCACTGTCTTCCCAGGCCACAGCAGAAAGCTGGATCAGAAGTGGAGCAGTCGGTACTTGAACCAGCGCCCATATGGGATGCTGGCACCACCGGTGGCAGCTTAACTCACTACAACACACTGCTGGCCCCAAAAAAGTACATCTTAAAAACAAACACAAAAGAGCTGGCTCAAAGAAAATCTGAGTGGGTCTCGAGTTCTCCCGTGGGACTACCTGAAACTCTAGAGAAAGGGGCAAGGACATGTCCAGCTTTTAAGGATTCGGCCCCTTTCCCAGATGGAGTGTCCCAAGTACGGCTCAAAGGGGCTTTTCCGAAGCACAATCCTTGGAAACCTCAGGCCAAGGGCAAGGAAAGATGTCTTGCTTGCCGTAGCTTTTCTTTTTCTTTATCCATTAGAGACAGAGAGCACTCATTGACTGCTTTACTCCCCACAGGCTCACATCAGCCAGGACTGGGCCAGGCCAATGCCTGAAGCCAGGACCCCACTCCAGGTCTCCCATGTGGGTGGCAGGGACACAATCACTTGAGCTGTCACCTGCTGCTTCCCAGGATCCACTTGAGCAGGAAGCTGGAGCAAGAAGCGGAGCCGGGACTCAAACCCAGGTACTCCAACGTGGGATGCAGGCGTCTTATGCATTAGGCCAAACGCCCACCCCCAAGGGAAGACGCTAAAACATTCCAGAGGCGAATTCCAGGTTGAATGCCAAGGATCATGAGCCGGGGGTGGGGCAGCAGCTCCTACGCCGGGAATACTGAACGCAGGGATAACCACAGCCCAACACACCAGAGGAAAAGCCACCTCCCACCTGTAACTTTGCATCTGACGGAAGCCATAGCAACTGGGCAAGTCTGAGACAGATGTCAAGCCCCAGGGGGCTAAGCAGCTGAGGCGTGGGGCCCACGCAGCACACCGAGGCCACACTCACATCACTTCTCTGCCTGCACAGTGAACGACGCTAGAGGGGAGCGGACAAGTAAGGGGATGTTTATGCTGTGTATTGCTTCTCTCTATCCCTTAAAAAAAATGCTTACTGGTTAGCTGCTAGTTTGGATACCAGTTTGGAAGCTGAATGACCCCTCAAAAGCCCATATGTTAAAGGCCTGGTTCCCCAAGTTCCTATGTTCACAGCACCAAGAGGAAACAAACTCAATCCAGTTCCAATGTCTGAAAGGGGGGGCCTTTGGGACATGACCCCGTTGGACTGCGTCATTAGGGTGCAGGCCCCATAAGTAAACCCCGGTGGCCCCGTAAGGGGTCGTATAGCACAGAAGCCACTCTCCCGAGGGCCACCATGGGACTGCGCCCGCAGCAAAACCTTTGCTGGAGGTGGAACCTCTGAAACCACGAGCCAAAAGAAACCTCTCCTTCCTGAGTAGCTTATGGCAGATAGTCCTCGTGGTAACCACAGCCGGCTAAAACGCTGGCCACACAGCTCAGCCTTCCTAAGTTTCATTTCATTGAGCGGAACCCTACCATACAGGAAAGGAAGCCACAGAGAGGTCCCGTAACCTACCTGGGCCACACAGCAAGGGGGCAGCAGTCAGCACCCATGCCTGCTAACTCAGGCCACTTCCCACTGTCCTGCTACCCTGCTCTGCCTGAGCCCAGCAGGTGCCGAGGCTGACCTCTGACCTCTGGGACTGCAGGTTCCTCCAGGATGTCAGGAGGGGGCCTAACACACCTCCTCTAACCGTGTGCGCTTCCCGGAAGGCTCTGACCCATCATCATCTTCACTGCCACTTCCCGAATGCTCTTCGTCCTCTTCTTCATCGCAAAAGATTTCGTCGTAGGCAGGAACCTCCAGGTCGTCATCTTGTTTGACGAGTAATTTGATCTGTTTAAAACAAAAAGCAGTCAGATCTCTCCTCCTCTTCCCTTCACGGAAAACTCTTCACCACAGTATGTTTTTCTCCTGCAGAATCTTATCTCGTCCCAACAAGCTGATCACCTACGTTTTCTTTATTTGAACGGTACAGTTATAGACAGAGAGAGGGAGAGAGAGAACTCTTCATCTTCTGGTTCACTCCCCAAATGTCTGCAACGGCCAAAGCTTGGGCTGATCCCACACTAGGAGCCAGGAGCTTCTTCCGGATCTCCCATGCGGGTGCAGGGGCTCAAGGACTTGGACCATCCTCTACTGCTTTCCCAGGCCACAGCAGGGAGCTGGATTGAAAGAAGAGCAGTCATAACTTGAACCGGCTCCCGAATGGGATGCCAGTGCCGCAGGCAGAGGTTTAGCCTACTAGGCCACAGCGCTGGTCCCAGACCTGCTATGTCTTCTATGCATATGAACAGCCTCCTGTTGGAGAAGACAGACTCCCCAGGCATTTTATTGTCTTGGTTACTGCTCAGTGTGGTGCCTGGAGTTGCACCACACGGTTTGTGTAAATTATGAAAAACCTACAAACAGTGCTTTGAGCAGCATCTAGGGGCCTGCCCTCAACGTGGCCTCTGACCAGAGAAACAGCTGCCATGGTTTGCCTACAGTTTGTTCCCCAAGCTTCCGGCATGGTGCTTGGGGGTGTGGGGGCCCAGTGGTGATTAGGCCACAGGGGTTTCTCCCTCATGGATGGGTCAGGTCTCATAGGAGTGGATGGGTTCCCACAAGAAGAGGTCATTATCAAGGAGTCTGGAGGCCTGGGTTCCCTCTTTGGCTTTCTCTTCCACCATGTGACACCTCTCTCTCTCGTACATGAGCCCTGCCCTGTGGTGCCACACACCCTGGGCCCTCATGAGAATGAAGTAGATGTCCCTGCTGGACGCGGGAGTCTCCAGGCCTGTGAACTGAACCGACCTCTCTCTTCAGCAAGCACCCAGCCTCCGAAGTTTTGTTGGAGCCACTGAAAATGGACTGAGACAGAGGTCAGCCCCTGAGTGAACACACAACTCCTGTTGTCGGAAAGCGATGGCGCACTGATTTTGCTCTGGGAGAGGCTCCTCCTCGTGAGCGCTTCAGTGGGTGGGAGAAGCTCGAGTCAGAGAATGCCTGGGCGGCTGCTCAGGGCCAGGCCGCAAACTTGCTGCCTGGTGTTTTAGAGTTACGTGCGGTCAAGCCCTTTTAGATTCTAGGCAAGCAAATTCTAGAAATGCGTTTGCAGCATCTCCAAGGGCAAGGTGCCGTGCCTGTCAGCACGGATAGGAAAGACCAAATTTTGGTGCTAAAGTGGCTCCCAAACTGGGGAGTCGGATGCATGCCTTGCCAAGAATGCTAGGTGAAACGTAGTGCGTGGTGCCAAAAGGCACAGCCGGGCGAGGCGGAGAGCACAGGAGCGGAGAGGCCCCCAAGCCTAGGTACCTGGGTGGTGTTGTACACATTCACCACGTTCACGGGTCTGTGGGTGTCGCACACGAAGAACACAGAGTCCTCGTCAGGCTGCAGGATGTCCAGCAGGTCTACGTTAGCTCCGCAGTTTATGAGAATAAAATAACGGAACTGAAAGAAGAAAAGACCATGCGAAGTCACTGCACGGAGGAGGCCCCTTCCCCCTCCCCGCCCCAGGCCTGAGTCCTCCTGCTGAGAACATGCTAAGCCCCGAGACGTGGCAAGCTCCAGACGGCCAGGGGCTCCCAAAATGGCCCTGACCGGCTTGTGCTAAGTGATTTAACGTTCACTGTGCTGCTTCCATCACAACAGGGGAGGCGGGCCTCGGGCTCAGTGAGTGTGAGTCTCATGCCAGGGTCAATAAGACAATGAGCAGCCAGCGCTTGGGCGTAGCGGGTAAAGCTGCCACCTGCAGTGCCAGCATCCCACAGGGGTGATGGTTCGAGTCCTGGCTACTCCACTTCCGATCCAGCTCCCTGCTAATGCACCTGGGAAAGCAGTGGAAGATGGCCCAAGTCCTTGGGCTCCTACACCAGTGTGGGAGACCAGGAAGAAGCTCTTGGCTCCTGGTTTCCGATTGGTGCAGCTCTGACCGTTGCGGCAAGGAACTCCCGGCAAAGATTTATCTCTGCCAAGAGAGTTGCAGGGATGAACGGGAGCCAGTTCCACACCCCATCCCTCCCCGTGGAGTCCACAAGGTCCTCTGTCATTTGGCGCCATGCAGAAGTAGGAGAGGTGCTGGCTTCTACTGTTTGAGATTCTGGAGAGAACTGAGCAGGAGTCTCGCCTAATGGCTAAGACGTCTACAAGCCACATCGAGCAGCTGGGTTTGATTTCCGGCTCTGGCTCCCAATTTCAGCTTCGTGGTAATGCAGACCTTGGGATGCAGCAGGGGGAGACTTGGAATGGAGTTCCCAGCTTTTAGCTCCAGCACTGGCTACTGTCAGAGTTACGGGGGGCAGGGGTGGGAGACAGAAAGAGGGATCGTCCATCCACTGGTTCACTCCCCAGATGGCCACAATGGCCAGTGCTGAGCCAGGAGCTTCATCCAGGCCTCCTATATGGATGGCAAGGATCCAAACACTTGGGCCATCTTCCACTGCTCTTCCCAGGCCATGAGCAGGGAGTTGAATCGGAAGTGGAAAAGCTGGGACACGAACCAGTGCTCACATGCCTGGATTTCAAGCTAGAAACTGAGATCCATTGTCTTGAAGGGGTAACAAGATAATAATGTACTCTAACATAATTTTAACTAGCCTTTAAAAAAAAAAAAGATTTATTTATTTGAAAGGCAGAGTGACACAGAGAGAGAGAGGGAGGGGCAGACAGAAATCTTCCATGCACTGGTTCACTCCCCAAGTGCCCTCAACCCAGGCTAAAGCCAGGAGCGAGAAACTCCACCTTCCACTTTGGTGGCAGGGACCCAAACGCCTGGGCCAACACCTGCTGCCTTCCCAGGTGCATTAGCAGGGAAGCGCATGGTAAGTGGAGCAGCTACGCAGCTACTGTATGAAGCAGCACTCTGATATGGGAGGTAGGCATCCCCCCTTGCCACAATGCCAGCCCCCTCAACTATACTGCATTGCCAAACTGCGAGCCCCCCTGGGCCGGCACTGTGGCGTAGTGGGTTAATCCTCTGCCTTTGGTGCCGGCATCCCATGTGGGTGCTGGTTCAAGTCCTGGCTGCTGCACTTCCGATCCAGCTCTCTGCTAATGTGCCTGGGAAAGCAGTACAAGATGGCCCAAGTCCTTGGGTGCCTGCACCTGCGTGGGAGACCTGGAGGAAGCTCCTGGCTCCTGGTTTTGGATTGGGCCAGCTCTGGCCGTTGCAGCCATTTGGGGAGTGAACCAGTGGATAGAAGACCTTTCTCCCTGTCTCTCCCTCTTTCTGTCTGTAACTCTGCCACTCAAATAAATCTTTAAGCAAAAAATTGCAAGCCCCTTACGATCAAATTTCTGCCCGACCAGTGCCTAATTACTGTGACGTGTCTGTTTCCTACCTGCTCTTTGTGCTCAAGGAACGCGGTTTCGAGTTCTTGCCACCCAGAGACCGGGACCAGCGTGTACTGCACGTGATCGCACTGGAACAGGGCCTGCAGAGAGAGGGGAAAGGGGGGCTTTCAAAGCCTGTCTCGCTCAGGATGGCCACCGTTTCCCTCCAAACGCGCTGCCACAAGACTAGATGGGCTGAGACACCAAGGGTGTGGCCATCTGAGGTAGGCAAAGCTTTAATGGGCGGAGCCATGGGGGGGGGGGTATGAGCTTTCTAGCAACCGGGTTGAATTTCCGGGAAAAAAAAAAATTGTTTTTTCAAAAAGTCAAAACTTGGAGGAGAAAAGTTGATCCTGCTTCTGGGTCTCCTGAGAGGGGCTGACCCAAGCTCAGTGACAACCGCGCCATATTCGAATATTGAGCTAAGGATCTTCCCTCTGAGACCGGGGCCCCAGGCGCTCCCAGCCCCTCTGACGTCACCACCAACGCCCTCAGGCCACTGCAGTTTCCAGCGTCTTCCAGACGCAACCATCTGCTAGGTTACTGCCAAAATAAGGACCCCTCGGAGCCGCCCTCCTCTCCGACCCCCGGCTCCCGCCCTCCCAGGGTCCGCGGGGCTCACCTGGAGGATCTTGCAAGCGCACAGGGCGTCCACGTCCGAGGCTACGAAGAGAAGGACCCTCTGCCGGGGGTTGGGAGGAGGGAGAAGGCAGGCTGAGCGCGGGGATCGGACCCCGCCACCCCCCACCCTCCCGGCCACCCACGACCCGCTCCTTCCCAGCCCTTCCTCCCCTGACGAGGCCCCGGCTGAGACCCGGACTGAAAGTCACCTGGCTCTGGACCAGCTCATAGAACTCCCTGCGAAAGTCGGACACAAACATAGCCACGGCCGCTGGGCACCCTGAGCTCGGGTGAGCTGCGGAGAGCCCCGCCTTCAGTCAAGACTCCCGCCAAATCGCGGCTCCTCCGATTGGCTCAAATCCTTCAACCAATTGCTATCTGGTTCCCAGCTCTTCTTCGTTCTGATTGGTCAGTATTGGGGGCGGCACTAGCGTTCCGCCGTTCACGACTGGAGAAGGCCGGCCCACTCTCCCAACCCCACAAAGCGGCAGTCAACTCTGAGGCAGGGCTCTGAGGCAAACACGGTGGTCCCCTCCATTTACCCAGAACCCCCGACGCTTAGTGGACATCTTTACTGTGGGCAGAGAAGCCTACCGTCTCCCACTGGGAACTCCAGGAAAAATTTACCTCTAGTCATGAGTGAACTTCAGTTACACATCCCGGAGGCCGGCAGTTATGTTTACAGTAGGATATGAATTCAGATTGAAGGCGGACGTGTGGGTTACTTCCGCCCGAATCAAGCATGGCTGAAATCTAGCTGCATTCTGGGTAGTGTAGTCAGTAAGCAGAATGGGCCCTACCAAATTCGTCTGGAGGGGAGTCCTGTCAAAACTTCCTTTTGAAAGCTTTAAAACTGTCTGTAGGAGAAGACACACGCCAGTAAAGGGCATTTTACTATTGACTTGTAGGAAGTTTAACCTCCCAGCGCCTTTCCCTGGCTTTTCCCCGTTGGCAGCAGACGCCAGGCCTCGGTACGTCCCCCGCTCCGGGTCTCAGGTCCGGCGCTTCCGGTAGGCCTCCCAGGGCGTCCCGGCTTCAGGGAGGTGGCGGCGGCGGCTACTGTCTGCTGAGCCGTCGGCGGGCTTCCATCGTAAGGTGGTGTGGGAGCAGCGGCGCCTGCAAAGCGGTGTTCATCATGGTAAGCAAGCGGCCGGTACCTGGAGCCCGAGGCCAGGCCCGGAACCGGGGCCTGGCGGGGAAGGGACGGGGCGGGCGCGGAGATGCCGAGTCACCCGGGCCGCAGCCTGGGGCGCTCGGGTCACCAGCCGGACCCGTGACCACGAACCACCTGTGTCGCGGTCACGGCCCGCATTCCGGCCCGCTTGGACATGACCTCATCTCCTAGATTTTTTTTATTTATTGAAGATGTATTGATTTATTTGAAAGGCAGAGCCACAGAGAGGCAGAGAGAGAGGTCTTCCATCCGCTGGTTCACTCCCCAATTGGCCGCAACGGCCACACCTGAGCTGACCGGAAGCCAGGAGTCAGAGCTTTTACCAGGTCTCCCACGCAGGTGCAGGAGCCCAAGGACTTGGGCCATCTTCCACTGCTTTCCCAGGCCACAGCAGGGAGCTGGGTCGGAAGTGGAGCAGCTGGGACTCAAAGCAGAGCCCAGATGGGATGCCGGCACTGCAGGCGGAGGATTAACCTACTGAGCCACGGCGCCAGCCCCGGGTTTTCAAGATTTTTAAAATTTATTATTTAAGAGGCAGGGTTGCAGACAGAGAGGGAGAGACAGTACCTTAGTCCACCAGGATTTCAGTGTGGTGCGTTGTCGATGACATATGTCCCCCCTGCTGAAGCAATGTCCCCGTCGTCCCGTCCTAACACCCGCTCCTCTTTCCTCCTAGTTCTCCTTCAACATGTTCGACCACCCGATCCCCCGCGTCTTCCAGAACCGCTTTTCCACGCAGTACCGCTGCTTCTCCGTGTCCATGCTAGCCGGGCCTAATGACAGGTCAGATGTGGAGAAAGGAGGGAAGAGTATGTGCTGTTTCTCTTTTGAATATATAGTTCACCTCTCCTGCCCTTGAGTCTCCTGCCGTCCCTACCCTGCGAGCGGGAAGCAGAGCTGATGTCACGGTGAAGCTCGCTTGGCCCAGACGTGGCTCGGTGGGGGTGGGTCTCCCACGTGGGTGCAGGGGCCCAAGCACCTGGGCCATCTTCTGCTGTCTTCCCAGGCCACAGCAGAGAGCTGGATCAGAAGTGGAGCAGCCGGGACTCGAACCGGCGCCCTTATGGGATGCCAGCACTGCAGGTGGTGGCTTTACCCGCTCTGCCACCGTGCCAGTCCTGGTGGAAGATTCTTTAGTGAAAGAGCATTATGAAATTCTGGCTACTCGTAAAATTCTGCTTACAACTTTAAAAAAAAAAAAAGAACAGAAACCACATGTTGCCTTTGCTGCATCCTTTCTATTTTTATTTTATTTTGTTTTTTAAACTTTCTTCAATGTTCTTTTTCACAGTAATTATGCCGCCCTCGGCCCTCGATCAACTCAGTAAGTATTTTCCAAGTGACCTGGGAAGTTAGGTAAGGTAAATGGATGCCGCGAATCAGTGCAGGCCCCTCTGACATCAGACACAGGCAGCCTTTGTCAACCTCTGGCCGTGAACTGTCCCCCGGAGGGCACCTGCTGGACTGGGGGAAACCAGGGCCACGGGTGCCCAGGGGAAGTGGTGCATGGTGGTGGCCGGTGTGCAGCGCTGGGCTAGTGAGCCCTTGACTTCACTGCCCTGGGCGCCTCAGCTCCTCTGTGTAAGTGACCACGCCAGCCGGTCTTGGGATTCCAGACGCTTAAATAAAGATATGAAGGCATCTAGCACTTCCCACAGTGCTGGGACAGCTGATACCACGGGCCACCAAACGGCCGCAACATCTGGAGCTGAGCCGATTCAAAGCCAGGAGCTTCTTCCGGGTCTCCCACGAGGGTGCCGGGATCTAAGAACTTGGGCCATCTTCCATTGCTTTCCCAGCCACAGCAGAGATTGGATCGGAAGTGGAGCAGCCGGGACTTGAACTGGTGCCCATATGGGATGCCGGCACTGCAGGCAATGGCTTTACCCTCTGTGCCACAGCGCCGGCCCCCTGGCCTCACCAGGTTTGCTCCTAAAGGAAAACATGGTCCCTTTTCCCAGAAGATGCCCCGCGCTGGTTCCTCCTCTCTTTACTACCCATCTTTTGGAGCCTCGGGCGCCCACCCCCACCCCCATTTCTAACCCTCAGGTTGCCATTGCATCCTCAGCACGGTAAAATCGGCCCTGGTCTCCTGCCCCAGCAACCACTTCTCTCACTGCCTCTTTGCAGGAGTGGGAAAGGCCCCCTGGCCGTGCTGTCTCTCTTTCCCCCACCCCAGGAGACCCTACACGCAGCCCCACAGTCCCCAGACAGGGACAAAAATCTTGCCTTTTTGCGACTCAGGATGTTGTGTTGTGAAACCTCCCTGTTCGAGGCAGGAGGCTAAAAGGGTCAGGGAGGGGTTGGAGAGGGGCAGCTCCACAGCTGGTGTTGGACGCACACGGTGGTGGCTCTGACGTCACTTGCCTGGCCTGACTCTTGACTAATGATGTCGCCTTCCAACCTCAGTGTCCTCAGTTAACCGGGGACACCCATAGTCAGAGCTGCCGTGTGTTGATGTGTTTTGTGTGTGAGCTACCCCAGCCCATCTGACCCCAGCCACAAGGGGGCTGCAACCTCTGACCCAGCACCAGCCGTGGGCCACACCCAGTAGGTCCTGGGCTCAGCCAGGTGGATAGAGTGTGGGATTCCCTATCATCACCCAGACCTGGTCATTAGAGGCAGGAACAGGTCCCGGAGAGACCTTTTGGGATGCCATTCCCCAAAGCTCCTTGGGAGCTGCCTGCCCAAGCTCTGCTGAATCTTAGGGAGACCCCAGATGTGTGTGCCTTTGCCCCTGAAGCTACATGGGACTTCCGCTGATACACCCACCTAAACCACCAGCTCCCGTCAGCCCCAGGAGTTGAGGCCCCAGTCTTACGCCCACAGGTTGTGTTTGGATCCCAGAACCGCGCTCTTAAGCTGGCTGACCCTGGGCACGGTGCTTAACCTGTGTGCCTTGTTTTCCCCAGAGGTGAAAAGGGGCGGTGCTAGTATCTACCCACCTGACTGTCATGGGGGGGATGGACCAATGGTACGTGGCAGACACCATTAGTGCCGTCTGAACCTTCTCAGATCCCTCCCCAGGGCCTGGGACCTCCAGGGTTTTCTGGCCTTGGGTGGCCAGCCCCTCCCTCTGTGCCCTGGCCCCTCCCACGTCAGCATGCCAGCGTGCTGTTTGCTGACTCCAGCTGTCCCCTCATGGGCCACCAAAGTGAAAGGATTCACCGTGTGGGGACTGGGCTAGACCCACACTGCCTGCCTGGCACCGGGCACTAGGTTCCACTCAGGTTGTGGCCCTGCCTGGCCTCCTTCCCCCAACCTGACCATTCCCATACTTGTGCCCAGGCCTGTCTCACGTAATTGCCAGCCATTCCCCTCCACACCTCGGCTCCTTCCTCTCTGCTCAGGCGGCTCAGGCCGCCTCCCCTGCCTGGGATTCCCTCCCTGGCCTGCAGGAGCCTGTCCCAGCATCAGAACCACCCTTCCCACAGTACCCGTTGGCTTGCCCAGGCTCCTCTCCTGGGCCGTGCGTTGTGCTGTGTGGTCACAGCAATGGGTGTCTTTGGGGACTTCGGAGTCCAAGCACCGATTTCAGGGAGCAGGGTTATGTGGAGCATGCCCGGGCGGTGGGAGGCTCCTTCCAGGGGAGAGCGTTGGGAGAACAGGTTTCTCTCCCTTCCCTGGAGCCGCGTCTCATAGCCTGTCTTCTTTCTTAGGCCGGCTTAACATCACTTACCCCATGCTGTTCAAACTAACCAACAAGAACTCGGACCGAATGACGCACTGCGGTGTGCTGGAGTTTGTGGCTGACGAGGGCATCTGCTACCTGCCCCACTGGGTGAGTGGGGGCTGCCGCGAGAGCCTGTGCCCGTCGGCCTGTCGCAGAGCGAGGGGCCTTGTGGGCAGGGAAGCCCTCCAGCGCATGTGCGTGCACGCTCAAGAGTCCTGGTGGAGGGAGGAGGCCCTGACCCCTCCTGCTTGGCTGCCACACTCAAGATTTGGGAAAACAAAATCTGCGGGGAAAGCTTTTTCTTTGACAGTTGCCCGGCTGGCTGTGCAGAAACCACAGCTGCACCTTTTTCTTTTTTTCTTAACTTATTCTCAAGGCAAAGAGATAAAGCGCTCCCAAATGTCCACACCAGCCAAGGCTGGGCTAAGCTGAAGCGTGGAGCTGGGAACTCAACCCGGGTCTCCCACGTGGCTGGCTGGCAGGGGCCCTGGATCTGTATATGCGTCCCCTGTACTTTTAGCAGTTTCTGTCTCAGCGTATGTGTTTTTCCACACGTGCCGGTGACCGGATCTTCCCAAAGCACTCAGCTGCTGTCGAAGCAGCTCCCTGCTCCTCTCTAGGCCCTTCTGTTGGCCGGAGTCCACTTCGAAGACGCCCTTGTGGACCCGGGTCTGGATGGCCAGGGGGATGGCGGCCTCCAGCGCTTGCCCTGGGACCAAACACCTCAGAGGAGCCAGCAGACCAGTGCTGGCATTTTAGGAGGACCTTGTGGTGGCAGGAGTTCCACCTGGGTGACGGTGGGGCCCAGCGGCTCCCCTCCCCCACCAGCTCCGTGTCCGCACAGGCCGAGCCGTGGGAAAGCCGCAGAGGGAGGGAGGTGTGCACCTTTCTGTCTGGGCATTGACCGCAGCGGGTGTGCTGAGGCCCCCGCGAGGAGCCGCCTCCGCACCCCCGCCCCCAGGCCGAGGAGCTGGAGCACAGCCTGCTCTCTGTCGGCGTGGTGGCTGTGTGGCCCTTACCGCTGATTTCCTGGATGTGTTGAGGTTCTGAAGGGCTCTTTCTTCCCTTGGGGCCAGCGCTGTGGCATAGAAGGTTAAGCCTCCACCTGCAGCGCCAGCATCCCATAGGGGCGCCAGTTCAAATCCCGGCTGCTCCACTTCCAATCCAGCTGTCTGGCCTGGGAAAGCAGTGGAAGATGGTCCAAGTGCTTGGGCCCTGGCACCCCTGTGAGAGACCCGGACGAAGCTGCTGACCTCGGTTTCAGATCTTGGGAGAGTGAACCAGCAGGTGGAAGACCAGGCCTCCAGGCCAGTTTTGTTTTTTTTCTGGTAGCCCCCAGCTGGATCTCGAGGGCGTGAGAGCAGGGCCCATGCCGTGGCCAGCGGTGGGCTCCATCCCACCTGGAGGCTCCCGCTCTCCTCTGGTGGGCCAGCCTGGAACAGCAGCTAGCCTTCTAGCAGGCAAAGGCTTCCTGTGCTGAGCAGCCCACGGCCCTGCTCCAGCCACTCGTGACTGCCTGGACACGTGCCCAGCTGGGTGCCCGCCATGCCCTGTGTGCTCTGCAGGGCGGGGCAGAGGCACCCCAGAGAGGAGCTCTTCCGGCAGCCAGGCCCTCACCCCAGGCCGTGGTCTGACCCTGTCCTCCTTGCACCACGTGGCTATGTCCTGCGCCTGGCTGAGGAAGGCAGCCCCTTCTTGCCAGGCGTCCCTGGGCCTGCACTCCTGTGTTACCCTGCCCTGCGTGTGCCTCAGAGCCACCTTCCACTCACTGACCGAGTTTCCAGAAAAGCCCACCACGGGGCCTGGGCGCTCGGCCTGCAGCAGGCTCACTCTGATCCTTGGAGCGTTACTATCTGGGGCCGCACACGTCCTTTTACTAAAGCCATCCCTCCCCATCCCGCTGCACCCCTCTGTTTCTATGGTGCTCAGTGTGACACGGGCCTGTCATTCTGAGACACACAGGGTTTCTCATTCCTGGCTCAGCCTTGCCTCTGACCTGGGTTATGGCCGTGCTGCAGTGTCCTGTGTCCCCCTCCACACCCACCTCTGTCTCACTCCTTACCAGGGGCTTCACAGAGACAAGTGGTGCTTTCGTGGGCACTTCCATTACAACCCTCAGTAGCAGACGCCCCTGAGGCCTTGTCGCCACCCCTGGGCCTCAGCCCTGCAGGCTGTTCCTTGTAGGGTCAGTCATCATCCAACCTCATACGAAGTCCCTTGTAAGCTGCTTGTGGGACAACTCCGAAGCTGACCCTGGGGGACGCCCTCTGTCCCTGGGAGTTCTGGAACAGTCCAGGAGGCAGAGAGGCAGGGCCCTAGCAGCACCCCCCTTTATTGGCCTTCTTCCTTCCACAAGTTTCTCCTGCTTGAGTTTTCCTCATTCCTTTTTGCTGCTGTTGTTGTTTGTTTAAAGGTTTATTTTTTATTTACTTGAAGACAGAGTTACCAAGAGGTAGAGAAAGAGAGAGAGGTCTTCCATCCTCTGGTTCACTCCCCAAATGGCCAGACTTGAGTTGATTTGAAGCCAGGAGCCAGGAGCCTCTTCCAGGTCTCCCACATAGGTGCAGGGGCCCAAGGACTTGGGCCATCCTCTGTTGCTTTCCCAGGCACATTAGCAGGGAGCTACATTGGAAGTAGAGCAGTCAGGACTCGAACCAGCGCCGGCCCCTCTTCCTCATTGCTGACATCACCTCACAGCTGAATTACCTGCCTCCAAGCCTGGTCTCAGGCTCCTGTGCCGGGGTCCCAGGTCCGTGGTGGTGGTGCGTGCTGGTCACCGAATGTGCAGGAGCCTCACGGAGCCTTCTGCTTTCAGATGATGCAGAATCTGCTGCTGGAGGAAGGGGGCCTGGTTCAGGTGGAGAGCGTCAACCTGCAAGTGGCCACCTACTCCAAATTCCAGCCGCAGAGTCCCGATTTCCTGGACATCACCAACCCGAAAGCCGTGTATCCTTCTGAAGCCACCAGGGTTCTTCTGACGCAGGATGGGCATGCCAGCTTCTGACCCGGAGAGGGAAACCTGGGCAGCCTCACCCTGTCCACCTTCGAGTGACGGTGCTGAGAGCCTTGCTGGGCTGTGCCGTGTCAGGGTGGTGGAGTCTGGAGTTGCCTTTCTATGTAAAACCTGCAAATCTATGAGGATGGTTTGGGCCATCTTCCATTATTTCCCCAGGTGCATTAGCAGGGAGCTAGATTGGAAGTGGAGCAGCCAGGACACGAAATGGAGCTCATATGAGATGCCGGCACTGCAGGCAGTAGCTTAACCCACTGCACCATAGTGCCAATTTTTTCCTTTCTAATTTTTTTTTAAACTCTGAATTTTAGAAGATTACACCCCCCCCCCCCATATGTTTTGGTTTGCCGGCCCAAAAGATGGAAACAACAAAAATGAAGATGAAGGCATCCTTGGTTTCCGGCAGTGTCTGAGAGGACTCCCTGTTTTCATCTGTGCTCCCATGGGGTTTTTTTCTCAATCGACCCATTTTATTGCAGTCTGATTTACACACATTAAACAACACGCGGTTAGATCTGCTTGGCAAGCGTGTACACCCACGTGACGCCATTGTCCATTAACTCTGTGAAGTCCCCTCGGGGCTCTCCCTTTCTCAGGCTTCCAGGCCGTTTGGGAGACCCGCTCCCCGTGGTACTGCACCCCGGGGGTTCCCTTCCTCTCACTGTGTAGTCTCGTTAGATTGAGCTGTGGGTTTTCAGTACCGGCTTCGCTCTGCTTAGCTACAGGACATCACGGAAGCCTTCGGGGTGGGGGGGGGTGGGGGGACCTGCTGGGAGGTGAAGTGCCCCCGTTGCTGTGCTGCCTTGACGCTGGGCGCCTCCAGGTTAGAGAACGCGCTCAGGAACTTTGCCTGTCTCACCACCGGGGACGTGATTGCCATCAACTACAACGAGAAGGTGAGCTCGGGTCGCACCCAGCAGGAGCCCCTCCCCATGAGCGGGCGTGCTGGGGTCTCAGCACCTCGCTGCTGCCGGCCGCTGTTGGCTTTTGTGATCCTCAGGGGTTCACTCGGTGGAGCAGCCCTGCTCTGGGGATTGGTGTGTGGCAGGTGAGGGAGCTTCGTGCTGTGTTTCCGTGGCACACCTGGCTGCTGGGGTGGGGGTGGGGGCTGCCCAGTCTATCTCAGAAACAGCACAGGGCACCTGTAATCTGAGTGAACCCTTCTGGGGGCGATACCTTCCCTCGCTGCCGGCAATGTGTTCTGGTGTTTCCTGTAAACCGCCCTGCAGTTTCTTGGCAACCTTGTCCGTGACCCCACTCATGCGTGTGGCCTGCAGCCTGTCCCAGGAAGCACAGAAGATGTTCGTGGCAGCACTGGCCACAGCAAGGAAATGACCGGAAACAGCCCCAGTGCCGGATGAGCTGGGGCATCCACACAGTGACACATAGCCCTTTCTGTTCCTCGTCTGTTAATGTTTTTAAAGACAGACTGGGCCCTGTGTAGGTTTTTATAATGGTGGGACTCTCCAGACCTGTGTAAAATGATCAGGAGAGCAAGACATAGCCCAGGTAAAAAGAGAACCTGCCGCAGTGCAGGACCAAGCCGACAGGGCCACATCTGACCCTGTGCTGCTTTTTGGTTTTTTTTTTGTTTGTTTGTTTGTTCTTGTTTTTAAGATTTATTTATTTGAGAGACAAAGTTACAAACGGAAAGAGGGAGAGACAGAGAGATCTTTCCTCCTCTGGTTCACTCCCCAAATGCCTGCAATTGGCAGAGCTGGGCCATTCTGAAGCCAGGAGCCAAGAGCTTCTTCCAGGGCTCCCACGCAGGTGCAGGGAATAGGGTCCCTAGCACTTGGGCCATCTTCCGTGGCTGTCCCAGTTGCATTAGCAGGAAGCTGAATCGGAAGAGGAAAAGCCAGGGCTTGAATCGGTGCCCATATAGGATACTGGCGCTGCAGGCAGGGGCTTAGGCTACTGCGCCACAGGGCCAGCCCGACTTCTGCGCCTCTTGACTTCCTTTGTATACATCCGATCATCCCAGACGCACAGCAGCATCACTGTTGGCCGCCCAGCATCCTCTTGTATCACTGAAATTTGTGTTTACATACTGGCAAATAGAAGTCATCTCACTGACCTTGTTGCTGGGCATTCTGGGGGCGAGACCATTATTAGCGACATTGGAGTGAGCGTTTTCAGACTTTTCTGTTTGAGTACTTAACAGTTTATGTACAGTAACTTCCTAGCAGTGAGCTTTCTGGGTTAAAGGTTGTGCCTTCTGCATTTCAAAGCATCAGCGCCCTGTCTAATTTGAAACACTTGGGGGGAGCGATATCTGTGACACGAGGGTGCAAAGGCAGCCCACCCCCTACAGCGGAGGAGGTGTGGGCGAGGATGGAGTGAATGTGCCCTCAGCAGCGCACTAGGAAACCACAGTGGCCTGGGCCGAGTTCATGCCCAGTGCTGCCACGAAACCACCTGACCCTGCTTTCTGCCTTCCCGCCACAGATCTATGAGCTGCGGGTGATGGAGACCAAACCAGACAAGGCCGTGTCCATCATCGAGTGTGATATGAACGTGAGTGGCTGTGTCCAGGGTTCCGTGGGCCTGAGCCCCGAAGAGGTGGAGAGTTGGGTGGCCCCTGCCAGTTGAGCCCCTGGACAGTTTGGGGTGAAGAGGAGGCAGGTGCCGGCAGAACAGCATGAGGAGGCCACCAGCCTTGTGGCCTCTCTAGGCTGGTGGGGGTGGCCAAGTTTGTCCCCAGGGCGTAGGTGGCAGAATCCATGGGGCAGCTCAGACCCGCCCCTCCCTCCCTCCTTCTTGATTGATTGATTTGAAAGGCAGAGTTCCAGAGAGGCAGGGAGAGAGAGAGAGGTCTTCCATCTGCTGGTTCAGTTCCCAGACAGCCACAACAACCAGAGCTGCGCCAATCCAGCGCCAGGAGCTTCTTCCAGGTCTCCCACGTGGGTGCAGGGCCCCAGGGACTGGGACCATCTTCCGCTGCTTTCCCAGGCCACAGCAGAGAGCTGGATGGGAAGTGGAGCAGCCAGGACTCTAACTGGCACCCATATGGGATGCCGGCACTGTAGGTGGCGGCTTTATCCACTACGCCGACTCCATGAATTTTCTTATGACCTGAGGAAGCCTTCTAAGTCTCCTGAGTAGGGATGAACTACACGGGGACTTCAAAACATTTGTGGAAAATAGAACTGAAAGATCAGATAATTTTTTAAAATATTTAATTAATTTATTTGAGAGACAGAGAAAGAGGTCTTCCATCTGCCGATTCACTCCCCAAATGACCACGGCAGCCAGAGTTGGGCCCATCCGAAGCCAGGAGCTAGGAGCTTCTGGGTCTCCCATGTGGGTGAACGGGCCCATGGCCATCCTCCACTGCCTTTCCAGACCATTAGCAGGTAGCTGAATTGGAAGTGGAGCAGTGGAGACACAAACTGGTGCCATAGGTGAAGGTTTAACCTAGTGCAACACAGCGCCAGCCCAAGATCAGTTAATTTCAATGCAGAAACAATTTGAAATACACGCATATGAAGGGTCTTCAAAAAGTTGACCAAAAAGGGGTATTATGAAAAACTATGTGTTACAGACTGCTTTCATTTTTTTTTTTTTAAAGATTTTTTATTTATTTGAAAGACAGAGTTACTGAGAGAAATAGAGACAGAGAGGGAGGGCTCCCATCTGCTGGTTCACTCCCCAGATGGCCACAACGGCCGGAGCTGAGCCATCCGAAGTCAGGAGCCAGGAGCTTCTTCCAGGTCTCCACATGGGTGCAGGGGCCCAAGGACTTGGGCCATCTTCTACTGCTTTCCCAGGCCACAGCAGAGAGCTGGATCGGAAGTGGAGCAGCCGAGACTTAAACTGGCACCCATATGGGATGCTGGCACTTCAGGCCAGGGCTCTAACCCTTTGTGCCACAGCATCAGCCCCTGCTTTCATTTTTTTAAAAAAATATTTTATTTGAAAAGCAGAGGGACAGAGAGAGAGTAGTCTTCCATCCACTGATTCCCCCTCCAAATGGCCACAGCAGCCAGGGCCAGGCCAAAGCCAGGAACCTGGTGCTCCATCCTGGTCTCCTATGTGGATAGCAGGGGCCCACGCCCTTGGGTCATCTGCCTTCCCAGTGCCTTAGCAGGGAGCTGGATCAGAAGCAGAGTAGCCTGGACTTGAACCAGCACTCAATGGGATGCTGGTGTCCCAAGCAGTAGTTGAATCCACAGTGCCGTAACACCTGCCCTGTGTGCTTTGATTCATGTAGCATTCTTACAGTGTCAGAATTTCACAACTGAACACAGGCTAGTGGTTGTCAGAGATCCAGGGCATCCCTGTGGTAGGAGACAGATCTAATAACACAGAAACCCAGATACACACACACACACACGCACGCAGTACGTGGCGCACCAGGGAGGTCTGAATGAGAGCAGCATGCTGTACAAGCGTGGGTGCCCTGGCAGTGACACCGGCCTGTAATTTATAACACATTGCCATTGGGAAAACCGGGCCGAGTGTACAAGGTATCTTTTGGTGTGATTTCTTACACCTGCATGTGATTTGGTGCCAGAGTATTGGAGTGCTGGTTCAACCCCTGGCTGCTCTGCTTCCGATCCAGCTCCCTGCTGGTGTGCCTGGGAGAGTTCTTAGGCCCCAGCCCCCAACAAGGGAGACCTAGCTGGAGTTCCTGGCTCCTGGCTTTAGCCTGGCCCAGACCTGGTTGCTGTGGCTGTTTGGGAGTGAGCCAGCCTGTGAAAGATGATATCTGTCTCTCTCTGTTGTATGTGTCTTTCTCCCTCCGTTTCTCCCTTTCTGTCTGATATTCTGACTTTAAATAAATGAATACATAAATTTTTAAAATTAAAAAAAAAAAAAAAAACTGCACGTGAGTCTACACTGTCCCAGTTAAAAACAAAACAGATGAAGCACCCAAATACGGCCACGTCTCAAATCCTACTTTTCATCTTGGAAACAGGTGGACTTTGATGCACCTCTGGGCTACAAAGAGCCCGAGAGACAAGCCCAGCACGAGGAGTCGGCAGTAAGTGGCATCTGCACCCTGCGCCTTTGCCCTTTAAGCTTCTGGTACTGCTCTGAGTTCCCAGGGCCGGAGGCTTAAGGGAAAAGCTTGGCATTCACTCTGTTCCTGTCTCTCCATCAGGAAGGCGAGGCTGAGCACAGTGGCTACACTGGGGAGCTGGGCTTCCGTGTGAGTACCAGGCCGTGAGTCTGTCCGCAGCCAGACCCTCCGCTGCCTCCGCCCCAGGGCATCTGCTGACGCGTGGGCAGCAGCAGGAGCTAGGGTCTGGGTCCCCGTGCATGTGCAAGTCTGCTGCTTGCTCAGTTAGCAAGCCCCTTACGTCCACTTTTGCCTAGAGTCCTCCCAGCAACCCTGTCAGGCAGTCCCCACTTTTTCTTCTTCTTCAGGCTGTCCTGCCGACCAACAGCAGACACGCCCATGTCCTTCCCTGAGGTTCACCATATTGGCTTTGTCTCCCTGTCCTGTTTTTCTCTGCCTGCCCCATTTGGAAGTGAGTTGGCAATCAGGAGCCATAGCATGGCCGCTGGCCAGGCTCCCTGGGAACCAGGTGGAGGTGGCTCATGTGTGAACCCTGGGCGCTTGTGTGCTGGTACCAGAGGGCAAAAGGGAAGCTGAGCTGGGAGGCAGGCGCACCAGAGGCCTTAGCCCAGCCCCCGGGGCTTGGGCTGGCCTTGGAAAGACCAGATGACTTTTGAACCCAGCATTGGCTGCCACACGGCCAGAGGGCTCTCTCCAGCTTAGGCATTCCCCTGCAGCAAAGGCAGAGAGCTCCAAGCAGCTGGGGAGGGAGGGATTCAGCCCCGAGGGGGACTGAGCCATGCCCCCAGTTTGCATCCCCAAAGCACAGGGCACTTGGGTGTTGCTCTGGGGCTCAGCGCCTGACTTCTGCTCGCCTGCCTAGGCCTTCTCCGGCTCTGGAAACAGACTGGATGGAAAGAAGAAAGGGGTGGAGCCCAGCCCCTCCCCACTCAAGCCTGGAGACATTAAAAGGTGGGTCTGTCCGTCTGGGGAGGGTCTGCGCCAGCGTCCTGGGGAGGGCAGCCTCACTCAGTGCTGGTGACAAAAGCCTGGGTCAGCAGCTGAGGGGTGGCCTCAGCCACCTGCTGCTCTCCCCGGCTGGGTGGAGAGTCCCTGTGGGGTGCAGGCACTGTCACAGATCTCTCCTCTGGTGGCCGCCGTGGCAGAGGCAAGGGCGAAATGCGCACACTATCTGCGGTGCGTGAGCAGGAGAACGCTGGAGATGGGGTTTTATCCAGCCTCCTAAGGAGCCAAGGGACAGTGTCCACACCTCCAATGACCCTTCTCGTAAGCCAGGCCCACAGTCTGCAGCCACCTGCCCCCCCACCCAGGGTTTACGCCAAACCAGAACTCAGTTCCCACCCGGCTGCCTGCTAGAAGGATGTGAGGGTCTCCCAGCACCCTCTAGGGGGAAGAGTCCCTCGGGGCCGCCGTCTCTTCGCTGGCCTGCCTCTTCATTGTCAAAATCAGCCTTGAGTCCTTTTTTTCAGTCCCTGAAATTAGCATCTGCCCTTGTCTCTCTTTTCAGAGGAATTCCCAATTATGAATTCAAACTTGGTAAGATCACTTTCATCAGAAATTCACGTCCACTGGTCAAAAAGGTTGAAGAGGTGAGTTTGTTTCATTGGCAGTGAGAAGCGGTGTTGGCTAGTGGTGACCAAGAGTCTGATCATTCTGAACAGAGCTGTTCCCATCATTGTTTTTCCCATTTTTTTAAAAGATTTATTTATTATTTATTTGAGAGGCAGAGCTACAGAGAGAGGGAGAGACAGAAAGAGAGCTTCCATCTGCTGGTTCACTCCCCAAATGGTTGCAATGGCCAGAGTAGGGCTGACCTGAAGCCAGGAGCCAGGAGCTTCCCCTGGGTCTCCCACATGGGTGCAGGGGCCCAAGCAATTGGGCCATCCTCCGCTGCTTTCCCAGGCCATCAGCAGGGAGCTGGATCAGAAGTAGAACAGCCGAGACTCGAACTGGTACCCATATGGACTGTCAGCACTATAAGGTGGCAGTTTTACCCTCCTACGGCACAACGCCCACCCCAAGTCTGCAGTATTTTGAATGACAGCCCCAGCATACTCACTGCAACCAATCTATCAATGAAACAGGAAAACAGAAAAGTATTTTTAGACACTACAGTGCCACAAAATGATTTTCCTCTTGCATCCTTTCTTAGGAGCCACTGGTGGATGGACCCCACTAGCATGAAGGAAGGGAGTAGGAACGAGAAAGCTGTGGGGTCCAGGAAACCGGTATAGAGACTCCACCACTATGTACAGCCCCGAGGAAGGGCAGGCTAGAGTCCCTGGAGAACATGGAGACTTGCTGGCCCCAGCTATTGACAGCAGGACAAACAGAAGGCTGTATAGGAAAGGGACACCACCTAGCTCAGCTGTAGCTCACGTCACGATTGTCACCACATAAACCCTGGACAGCTCCACTGGAGGTGCAGTGCGCTGCAGGAGGTGGGGCTGTCAGGGACGTGATGGAAATGACAGAATCCTGATCTTCCGTGTAGATGAGAGTGAAGAGGTAATGCCCCACACTGACCACAGTAATGCAGGTGAAAAAATTACCTGCTGTTCTCAACTGTTTGGAAAAAACAAGTCCTTTTCCTGCCAGCAGGGAATAGCAGGCAGGAATGTTTTTGAGGGCTGGCTAGTCTATCCGGAGTGGAGACCCGTTTTACTGCCCAGGGCCATTTGGATGTTTACAGCATCATTCGCAGACCATACCAAGTAGCCTGCCATAGTTTTGTTGTTGTTGTTGTTTTGACAGGCAGAGTGGATAGTGTGAGAGAGAGAGACAGAGAGAAAGGTCTTCCTTTTGCCGTTGGTTCACCCTCCAATGGCCGCCACGGCTGGCGCGCTGCAGCCGGCGCACCACGCTGATCCGATGGCAGGAGCCAGGTGCTTCTCCTGGTCTCCCATGCGGGTTCAGGGCCCAAGCACCTGGGCCATCCTCCACTGCACTCCTGGGCCACAGCAGAGAGCTGGCCTGGAAGAGGGGCAACCGGGACAGAATCCGGTACCCTGACCGGGACTAGAACCCGGTGTGCCGGTGCCGCAAGGCGAAGGATTAGCCTAGTGAGCTGTGGCGCCGGCCAATAGATTGGTTTTTCAGGTTCTGTCTGTGGGTGCCTTGGCAGAGGTAGACTAACTGATTTCATATGAGCCAGAGGTTCTAAAATACTGGGACTCGCCTGGTTGGTGCTGGCACAGTGGGTTAAGCTGCTGTCCACAGTGCCGGCATCCCATATGGGCACTAGTTCAAGTCCCGTCTGCTCCACTTTTTTTTTTTTTTTTTTTTTGACAAGCAGAGTGCACAGTGAGAGAGAGAGAGCCAGAGAGAAAGGTCTTCCTTTGCCGTTGGTTCACCCTCCAATGGCCGCCGCGGCCGGCGCACCGCACTGATCCGAAGGCAGGAGCCAGGTGCTTCTCCTGGTCTCCCATGGGGTGCAGGGCCCAAGCACTTGGGCCATCCTCCACTGCACTCCCTGGCCACAGCAGAGAGCTGGCCTGGAAGAGGGGCAGCCAGGACAGAATCCGGTGCCCCGACCGGGACTAGAACCCAGTGTGCCGGCGCCGCAAGGCGGAGGATTAGCCTAGTGAGCCACGGCGCCGGCTCTGCTCCACTTCTGATCTAGCTCCCTACTCCTGTGCCTGGGAGAACAGTGGAAGATGGTCCAAGTGCTTGGGCCCCTTCGCCTGTTTGGGAGACTGCGATGAAGCTCCTGGCTCCTAGCTTCAGCCTGGCCCAGCACTGGCCATTGTGGCCATTTGAGGAATGAGCCAGTGGATGGAAGATCTCTCTCCTTGTCTCTCCTTCTCTAATTCTGACTTTCAAATAAAATAAATAAATCTTTTTTTAAAAAATATGGGAACTGTGTTATTTAAGATTTCCTTTTCTAGGAAAAATAAGAAGCTTGACAAAACTTAGGCTGCAAAGCACGTAATTGAAAACACTGCAAACCTTGGGGCTGGCATCTGGCACAGCAGTTAAGGTACCACTTGAGATCCCCACATCCCACATTGGGGTGCCTGGGTTTAAGTCTTGGCTCTCCTTTAAGTCCAAGCTCCTGCTAATGTGCACGCTGAGAGGCACCTAGATTGAGTTGCAGGCTCCTGGCTCTGGTCTCACTCAGCCCTAGCTGCTGCAGGCATTTGAGGAGTGAAGCAGCAGGTGCACATTAGGGCACAGCGCCGTAAGCCCTGTTCGCAATGCCAGCGTCCCACAACCCACATCCCACAACCCACATCAGGTTGCCTGTTTGAGTGCTGGCTGCTCTTAGCTTCTGATCCAGTCCCCTGCTCATGTGCCTGGGAAGGCAGCAGAGGATGGCCCAAGTCCTTGGGCCCCTGCCACCCATGTGGGAGACTAGGGTGGAGTTCCTAGCTACTGCCTTTGGCCTGGCCCAGCCCCAGCCATCTGGGGCATAAGCCAGCAGATGGAAGCTCAGTGGATCTCTCTATCACTCTGCCTTTCAAATTATGTGTATAAAGTACTGCTGACCCGGAAATAATGGGAGTGTCCAATGGTAGAAGTCTGACCCGCCTATGTGATAGGATTGTCTAGTGTCTTTGGAATGCACTAGATAAGAAGTGCATTGGCTTTGAAATTAAGTGAGAAGACAGTTTATATAAGCAGGTGCAGAAATTTATTTTTGGGTGGCAGTGAGGAGTGAATTTGGGAGGGTACATTTTATATTTTTTACATCGAGAATGGTTATTCTGTTAAAGGATATACAAATAGTCCCTGGCTTATGATGATGCACCTTGATGATGGTGTAAAAGCAGTAGGAACAGGGCTGGTGCTTTGCCTTAGTGGGTTAAACTACTACCTGCAGCACTGGCAACCCCTGTGGGTACCAGTTCTTCCAGTCTGGCTCCCTGCTAATGTGCCTGGGAAAGCAGCAGAGGATGGCCCAAGTCCTTGGGCTCCTGCCACCCAAGTGGGAGACCCGGATGGAGCTCTTGGCTCCTGGCTTTGGCCTGGTCCAGCCCTGGCTGATGTGGCCACTTGGGGAGTGAACCAGCAGGTGGAAGCTCGCTCTCTCTGTCTCTATCTCTCCCTCTTTCTCTGTAACACTGTCTTTTGAATAAAATAAATAAATCTTTTTAAAAAGTAGGGACCATTTGAATGTTGGATGCTGACCTTTTCCTGGGCTATTACTATGTGGGACAGTAGCCTCTGGGGTGCTGGGCAGGAGCAAGAGCCCCAGCCGCAGTGAGGCCCGCAGTCAGTGTGCTGGTTGTGTTTGGAAGGTCAGGTGGGGAAGAGCACCTTGGACGTACACCGCTGTCAGCTCAGGATGGCTTTACAACCCCATCGTACGTGGAGTAGCATTTGTAGTCACCTTGGTTTTGTTTCTCAGTACAGTCAATGGCGGTTGGTATTTATGTCTTAGAGACATTTCTGTCTTATTCATAGTTGGAGGTAAGGCATGTAGGTGGCTGGTACATGAGTCCCAGGGTAGAGCTGGTGGACTTCCAGAGAATTTCTAAAAATAGTGTTTTGTCTTCACACCCAGGACGAAGCTGGGGGCCGCTTCATCGCTTTCTCTGGAGAAGGACAGTCGTTGCGTAAAAAGGGAAGAAAGCCCTAAGTGGGGGCTGTCGGCTGACTGGAAAATAAAGAATCCGTTACAGCTTACTGGCTTTTGCTTACTGGCTCTCACCAGGGAGGAGACTCAGCAGAGAACACTCTGGTGTTAGGGTTTGAAAGATCAGCTCTGACCTGGGCGTGCAGCAGCTGGGGTTCCCGCAGGCAGCCACTCCCTGGGGCCCCTCATTTTCAGCCTGGGGCTGGGGGAGGGGCTCCCACTGCCTCCAGGGGAGCAGAGCTCCCTGATTCCTGACAAAACCATCACTCCAACTCGGGGTGCTGTTCCTCTTCCTTCCTTCATTCTTTTCCCAGGTCGATTGCCTCAGCCTTGGCTTTGGCCTAGAAAAAAAGTGGTTTCGCTAGTAAGAGCTGTGCTCTATAAAAAATGGCTATTGCACTGCTTTGGCTGCAGTTTAAGAATCTGAGAAAGGGTGTTCCTGCTTCTACTTTACGTATTGATTTTTTTCCCTCAAATATACCACTTCTCAGCAAGGAAACCCTGGTGTGAGTCAAGTTCACACTTTGATTTTGAATTTGTATGGGGAGCAACTCCGTGGCCACACAGATGTGAATGTTAGAGTGGGTGAATGCTAACGGTGATGTTCCTCTTGCTCCTCCTTCCCTACACCTATACCCCCCTCCCGATTTTCATCTATTGCATTGTCCAGGGTTCTGCCAACCTGTCTTTATTTTTGACAACTATTAATCTGGTCTCAGATCTTCACTTTCTATATAATGTGAGTGAGATCTTTTGACATGCTGATCCTATCATTTTGAATTTGTTCCTTCCAAATAATTCTAAATCAAGAATATCCAATAAAAACAGGCAAATGTGCAAAACCCGGATTGTCTCTCTATGTCTGATTAGGTACTGACTCGGGTGAGTGGCTGACCAGGCGTTGGAGGCAGGCCCCATGCAGCTGTCCCATGTGCTGTATGCTCCTGGGGCTTCTGCAAAACTCAGGCTCCTGGCCCCTGGGGTGGGTTGATCCAGGCCAGCCAGATGCCCTGGCTGGGGCTCCTGGCCACACTCGGGAGAGGGGAGGTGCCCTCTCCAGTTTCAGTCAGTGAGGAGCAGAGATGGTCGCGCTGCTTCAGGCTCTGACCTCTGGTGCAGCTGCCACTTTGTCACTGACAGCGGCCATTGCTGATTCTGGAAGGCATGAAGGCCTGCAGTGACCTCAGGGTCCCTAGCAGAGGTGGAAGCCCTCCTTGGTGGGTGGGGCGGCCTCCAAGTGCAGGATTGCATTGGCTGGCAAGTGGCCATTTTGTGCATAATGAGTGGAGGTAGGCCGGGCCCTGGGTTTCTGTTTTCACCATGCCACCCCTGCTGTGTGCATGCAATGAAACCCTCCCTTTTCCTTCCCTGGAGGCACAGTCCCCTTCCTGGGCAGGGGGAGACCCCACTGTTGGGCCGTTTAGCTTTGGCCCTGGATGTTACTGCTGCAGCTTTCCTCTCTGTCCTCTCCGGCACTTGGACAGTGAGGTAGCACGTCAACAGCCAGTCTCGTGGTAAAACCACAGCTTCCGGGGACCAGCGCTCTGGCACAGTAAGTGAGCCCCTGGCTGCCCCACTTCTGATCCAGCTCTCTGCTGATGGCCTGGGAAAGTGGTGGAAGATAGCCTAAGTGCTTGGGCCCCTGCATCTGCATGGGAGACACAGAAGCAGCTCCTGGCTCCTGGCTTAGGTTCAGCCCAGCTCTGGCCATTGTGGCATGAACCAGTGGATGGAACACCTTTCTCTACGTAACTCTACCTCTCAAATACATCTTTAAAAAACAAACAAACAAAAAAACCCACAGCTTCCCAAGCCACCTTCCATGTTGCTCCTGGGGTTTCCCCAGCCAATGGTTCTGTTCACAGATGTGGGAGACCCACAGCACGGGTGTCCCGGGGAGCTTCTACACGCCCGGCCCCTTCTGTACTTGGCCTCATTGTCTCTGTGCTGATGGCCCACACCCTCAGGAAAGCAACCCTGGCCACCCCAGCTGTGCCAGACAGCCAGCTCCGGCCAGCTCTGATGGCCCTTGGTCCCAGGACATGCGTCACGCCCAAACAGCCTCGGTCACTTTGCGAGCGCCACTCTACCCTGAGTGGACACCATGGCGACACCACTGCAGCTGAAGACCTAGGGGGTCAGCTGGCGCAGAGTTGAGCTGTATGTGTTTGCAGAAATAAATCGGATCTTTGAGGTCAAGGAAGATAACAAAGCTGCCAAAAAGATCTGGCCTGAACCATATCCTTGCAGCCAAATCAACGTGGCTTCGCTGCCCCCAACGCCCGCTGGTCACCAGGCAGGTGGCTGCTGCCGGCCTCGGGACACGCCCTCTCGCCCGCCCCCTCTGGGGACCCGCCTCTTCGCACGGCCCCGCCCCCGGCTGTGATTGGCTGTTTAGTACAGGCGTGCTGATTATTGGTGCCTTTCAAGGAGGCGAGCGAGGAGTTCGTCGTAGTATCTTGGAGTTATTGGCTCTTCTGTCCATCCATCAGCCGGCGCCGGCTTTCTTCATGCCTCATTGGCTGACGGGTGAAAGCGGGGATTTGGTAGTGGCCCAGACATGGCTGACGGCGGCGGCGGCTGGCAGGTGAGTGTGGTGGGGGTGTCGGGGACGCGCGGAGAGCTCGGCGGTCCCGGCGGCCTCTCCCAGGGAAGGGCAGGGCGGGGCAGGGCGGGGCGGGGCGGGGGAGTCGCTGAGGCCTGGCCTCTTCGCCGCAGCCGCCGCGCCCCTGTGAAGCCTACCGCGCCGAGTGGAAGCTGTGCCGCAGCGCCAGGCACTTCCTGCACCACTACTACGTCCATGGCGAGCGGCCGTCCTGCGAGCAGTGGCGGCGCGACCTGGCCCGCTGCCGCGACTGGGAGGAGCGCCGCAGCGCAGAGGCCCAGGTGCGCGGACGGGGCGGGCGCCGGGCGGCCGGCCTCCCTCACTCCCTCCCTCCCCGCCCCGGCCTTGCCTTCTTGTGAGAAATACCCCCAGAAAAGTAGTCCTCGGACGGCGTCGGAGACAGCGATGGGAGGACCGCGCGGTGTACCCCACCGCGTAACCCAGGCCCGGAGCGGGGAGGGAGCGGGCTGTAGAGGCGTGGGGTGAGGTTGCAAAGGCGCCAGGGACCTGGTGGGCTTAGGCGAAGAGTTCGGAAGTTTCTCTCCTCAAAGTGTGCTGCCATACGAGCCAGCTCCCACACGAGCACTGGCTCCAGCCACCTGCAGCGCCAGCTCCCATACGAGCACTAGGTCGAGTCGCTGCTCCACTTCCGGTCCAGCTCCCTGCTAATGTGCCTGGGAAAGCAGTGGAGGATGGCACAAATCTTTGGGCCCCTGAACCCATGTGAGAGACCTGGATGACACTCCTGGCTTTAGCCTGGCTCGGCTCTGGCCATTGTAGCCTGCTGGGGAGTGAACCAACGGATGGAAGCCCTCTCTTTCTCTAAGTCTGTAATCTGACTTTCATATAAGAGAATCCAGGAAGGGAAGAAGGGAGGGAGGAAGGAAAGAAAATGAAGACAGTCCCTAAGTGAAAGGAAACAAAACAAAAGAGGGAGAAAGCTTGTAGCCTGTATGGCAAGAGATGGATAACATGTGTGTATGTGTATTTGAAAGAGCACTTTTCTATCAGTAAGAAAACTGGGTGGATTTTGGAATTTAAGAAAAAAAATGAGCAAAAGAAACAAAGAAGCAATTCACTGAAAAAAGAAACCAAATGTAGGCAGGTAGGCTAGTTAAAATGACAGGGAGAGTGGCTTTTGGCCAGCATGAAGTCAGAAGTGTGGATAGGGTTTAGTTAGTCCTGGCTACTTGTATAGTGTTGGTGGGGGTGTATGGTGTTCTGATGGCCCAAATGTCAAAGGCGTAGTCTTAACTTCTGGGATTTTATCCTGGGAGAGGTAAGTGGATAACATTACAGTTAGGACATTACAATCTGCATTGTGCCACTGTTTTTGACAGTACAGGAACTGAAAGTGACCCAAATTCCACTGGCAGACGTTCGACCAGATAACTTTTCCACACAGTGGGGTAGAGTCATGTCCCTGGGCGTGGGCACGGAAAGGTGCCAGCACCACATTGTTCAGGGAGAAGAGCCGGAAGTGGACTACTCAGCAGAGGCGCACCCCACCTGGGGGGCACCAGCGAGAGCGCTACTTTCTGGGTGTTGGTGAAGCTCGCTGCTCACCGCCACGTCCAGGGTGGATGTCTGGGAATCTTTTGTGTCCTCCTTTACATTGTTTACCACTTTGTAAATGAGAACAACAACAACAAAAAACATTTCAAACAATAGAGCTTGAATGCAGACAGACAGGTGGATAGGTGTACTCGTGTGTGTGACGAGGCCTGCCGGGCACCTGCCACCCACCCACCAGGGGCCCACAGTGGCAAGAGTCAGCCCGGCCATGACGCCCTCCCGCTGCGTGTGTGCTGGGCGACCACTGCCCAGGGAAGCTGCCGGGTTGCACAGCCCCGTGTCTGTGGTCGGGACTCCCCCTGGTCTTGTGCTTCATCTTCCTCCCTTCTGACCACACTTCCCCCTGCAGTGCCCCCGGCCCTCAGCCCAGGTGAACCTGCCCCAGACTTGACCAAGGCAACTGAAGCCACTGAGTCCTGAGACCCAGATGTTTTAAAATCCCTCATGTGTGTGAACATGGAGCACTTGCTAGACTATATTAGATGCAAGAGGCTGGCCGAGCAGCAGAGTGCTGGGTCCCGTATGCCCCCACTTGTCCATCAGTGCTCAGAAAGGTGCTGAGAAGACGGGAGGCACAGGGGCCATGGGAGGGTGCTTGCGGACCATGAGGCCACGTGCGGGGACGTGACCAGGGTGTCTTTTTACAGCGATCCCTCTGTGAGAGTGAGCGGGCGCGGGTCCAGGCCGCACAGAAGCACGCCCTGGTGTGGACTCCGAGGCAGAGCCCTCCTGCAGACTGGCACCTCCCTCTGCCACAGGAGGAGAAGGACGAGTGACGGGCACCCCTCCACCCTCGGCTGGTGTGGCTTCATTGGATCTGTGACCAACCCCGTCTAGTGGGTCCTGCCTCCTCCCTCCCGGCTCGAGACACAGAGTGGGACGCAGGCAGCCCGACCTGTCCACTCTTCACTGCCTCAGCGCTCCCGCCACTGCAATGCTCTGAAAGTCAAGTGCACCCACCCCACAGCTTCCAGGAAGCCAAGCACTGTGGCAGGTACCTGGCCCCTTCCATCCCCGCCCCCAGAGATGGCAGTCCTCAAGGCTAGGAGTCTCAGGCAAACCCCTGGCGGGGAGTCCTGACCTGTGAGGACCCACATAGGTGGGCCAGGATGAGGTTGCTAAACAGAGGTGCTGCTGTGAGCGCCTCTCCCTGTCCTTGGGGCACAGGCTACCATGCACCAGGCTTGGTGACTCCCATGTGTGGCCAGCTGCTGGCCAAAAAGCATGGCACGCCCATTCTGCTCGGCTCCACTGGTGCCTCTGCACCAACGTGCTTCCCCCCAGAACATACCACCTTGCATGGAAAAAAGACACTTGGCTTAAGAAATCCAAGCCCAAGACATGGGGTTTAGGTCTCCTTTCTTTAAAATCTCCTCCCTGGGCATTAGTGTATTGTGTATTAGTGTATCAGATTCCAAATAAAAGCTGAAAATTAAGTCCTTTGCACCTTGCAGTGTTGTACTCTGACAGTGCTAGTTTCATGTTTATTTTCTCGCGGATGTTACTAAAATATATAAATACAAATCACCAGGAACTCTTGTTCTTACAGAGGTTTTACTGCTAATAACATGGTCCAGCAGTCTTCCTGGGTGAAGCTGAGGCCAGACTAGCGGGCTACTGCTACGTGCCCACCCTCCTCCAGACAGGTACTGAGACGTCAGGTGCTGGTTCAGTGCCCACGATGGCCAGGGCTGAGCTGCGGCTGAAACCAGGAGCTACACACTGGGGGCGAGGACCCAAGGACTTGAGCCATCACCTGCCGCCTCCCAAGATGTGCATTAGCAGGAAGCTGGGACTCGGACACTTTGATGTGGGCTGCGAGTGTCTTAACTGCTAATGTGGAACCCCATCCCTGGTCAGACATCTTCTAATTCATTCTCTGGGACAGAATACTGTTCTTCAGAAGAGCATGCCTCGATGACTCCCTTTCCCCTCTCATGTGCTCCTCTGTGTTGCCTGCGAGCCCCTCTGTCTACTGTGTGCGGGGAGTGTGCGCTCATAAGGGCCCACAGGCAGCTGAGCCATCCTGGCTGGTTGGATAATGGGCATTTCTGTACCCACTCTAAAGCAGTGAGGAGGCCCCTGCACTTTTGCACTCTGCATAGGATGCTTGGAATTGCACTTTGGGGTCCCTGGGCCACAGCTGGGGAGCTTGGGGAATTCTGAAGCGCAGCCAGTATGAGCCAGTCCATGAGGCGTGCCCCCTGACTACTGCCACACTTCATGTCACCTGCTGTTGAGAGATTGAGATCTGAGCATTGGCAGCTGTGTGCTCCCTTAGGCAAGGCTCTGCTTCTTGCTGCTTTATATCAACATTCAAGTTCTCCCTCTATGGTGCTACTGTTGCATTTTGCCCCCCTTCCTAATCTCTCTGGACACAATGTTCATTTATTTCGGGATTCATTCCCCCACATCCAAGTGCCTACTGGACAGGGATTGATAACCTTGGATTGCAATCTAGAAAGACAACAGTTGCCTTCAGAATTTGTTGCAGTTTGGGGGGAAGATGTAAACAGTAGGGACTGGTGTAGCGTGGAGGGTTAAGCAGCTGCCTGGAACCCCGGGGTCCCATGAGTGCAGTTTCTCAGCTGCTCCACTTACAACCCAGCTTCTGCTAATGTCCCTGGGAAAGCAGCAGCAGATGGCCCAAGTACTTGGGCTCCTGTCACCATGTGGGAAACCTGGAATATGCTCCTGGCTTCAAACTGGCTCAGCGCTGGTCATTGTAGCCATCTGGGGAGTGAATCAGTGGCTGGAAGATCTTTCTCTCTGCCTTTGCCTTTCTAGTAAGTAAAATAAATCTTTTTCTTAAAGATTTATTTATTTGACAGCCAGAGTTACACAGATAAGGAGGGGCAGAGAGAGAGGTCTTCCATCTGCTGGTTCACTCCCCAATTGGCTGCAATGGCCAGAGCTGTGCCAATCTGAAGCCAGGAGCCAGGAACAACTTCTGGGTCTCCCACACGGGTACAGGGGCCCAAGGACTTAGGCCAGCTTCTACTGCTTTCCCAGGCCAGAGCAGAGAACTGGATTGGAACTGGAGCAGCCGGGAATTGAACCAGTGCCCTTATGGGATACCAGCACTGCAGGCGGTGGCTTTACCCGCTACGCCACAGCGCAGGCCCCAGAAGATCTCTTTCTCTCTGCTTTTGCCTTTCTGTAACTCTTTCAAATAAATAAATCTTAAAAAAAAAAAAAATGTGGTCTAAAGGTGTGTGACGAAGGTTCCAGGATGGTTCAACAGGAGTTTGGTAGGCGGCTGATGCCAGGCAAACTGAATCTCTGCCTGCAGAATGCGTTTGAGCCCTTCCAACAACCATATACAGCAATTCACTCAAAATGGATCAAAAACCTAAATGTAAGACATAAAACGCTTAGAATAAAATTCCAGGAAAAGCCTATGACATTGGATTTGCTAAGTTTCTCTGAGATGACACCACGGTCACTGTAATTAAAAAGAAAAATAGACAAATGAGATTTCATCCTACTTTAAAGCTTTGTGCATCAAGACAGTATCAACAGAATGAAAAGATAAGCCACAGAATGGAGGGAAACATTTGCAAACCATGTGTCTGGTAAGAGATTAATAACCTGAATACAGAGAACTCCTAAAACTCCATGAGAAAAATGGAAAAATGGGCAAAGGACTTGAACAGGCATTTCTCCAAAGCTGGACAAATGGCCCACAGGCATGTAAAAAATATGCTCACCACTACGGATCTTTAGGGAAATGAACATCAGAGCTTCAGTGAGATACTACCTCCTGCCCATTAGGATGGCTACTGTTAAAAATAAAAATGGAGGCGGGGCCAGTTCTGCGGGTAAAGCCACTGCCTGCAGCGCCAGCATCCCATATGGGCACCGGTTTGAGTCCCGGCTGCCCCACTTCCAATCCAGTTCTACTATGGCCTTGGAAAACAGTAGAAGAGGGTCCGAGCCGTTTGGGCCCCTGGACCCATGTGGGAGACCTGGAAGAAGCTCCTGGCTCCTGGCTTTGGATTGGGTCAGCTCCAGGCATTGTGGCCATCTGGGGAGTGAACCAGCAGATGGAAGACCTCTTGCTCGCTCGCTCTCTCTGCCTCTGCTTCTCTATAACTGCCTTTCAAATAAATATCTTTAAAAATATATAAGTATTAGGATGTGGGGGAACTGGAACTGTTGGAGGGAATTTAAAATAGTACAGCCTCTGTGGAGGTTCCTCAAAAAAATTAAAAACAAAATTTCGAATTGATTCAGCAATTTCACTTTTGAACCAAAAGCTAAGCCTTGAGATATCTGTACAACCGTGATCCTAGCTGTACACCCATGTTTGAGGCAGTGTTATTCACAAGAGCTAAATGTCGAAGCATCCCAAGTTTCCAGCGATGAATGGAAAGCAAGATGTGGTGTCACCATACGATGGAACATCAATGTACCTTCAAGGGAAGGAATTTCTGACACATGCACCAAGATGAACCCTGAGGACATCACGCTCAGTTAAATAAGCCCATCGGAAAAAGCTGGACATTACAGTTCCACTCCTACGAGACACCTATCAAAATCAGAGACAAGGGGCTAGAGGAAGGGGAACTGGGGTATTTGTGTTTAATGGATATAGTTTCAGTTTTGCGTTGAAGAGATTCCTGGAAATACAGTCATGCATTGCTTAGCAACGGGGATGTACTCTGAGAAAGGCGTCCCTAGGGGATTTGTCATCGTGCAAACATCACAAGAGTATACTCACAAATCTTTCATGGCGTGGCCTCCTACGTGCCTAAGCACATGCAACAGTCAGCTTCTTTCCTTTTTTAAAGATGTATTTATTTGAAAGTGAGAGTTACAGAGAGGGAGAGAGAGAGAATCTGCTATCTACTGGTTCACTCGCCAGATGGCCACAATGTTCCAGGGTTAGACCATGCCAAAGCCAGGAGCCAAGAGCTTTTTACAGGTCTCCCACACGGGAGGCCCAAGCACTTAGGCTATCTTTTGCTGTTTTTCGCAGGTCATTAGCATGTAGCTGGATCATAAGTGGAGCAGCCAGGACATGAACTGGTGCCCACATGGGATGCCAGCATTGCAGGCGGTGGCTTAACCAGCTACACCACAGCACAGGGCCCAGGACAGTTTCATACATGGTTTGTCCTGGACTGAAACACTTGCTGCACGTGACTGTATGTGTGGTGATGTTAATACCACTGTCCTGTATAGTTAAAAATGATGTAAATTTTATGTACACTTCACAATTTTTTTTAAGATTTATTTACTTGAAAGGCAGAGAGTTACACAGAGAGGTCTTTCATCTGCTGGTTTACTCTCCAAATGGCCACAATTGTGGGGCTGGATCAGGGTGAAGCCAGGAGCTTCATCTTGGTCTCCCACATGTGTCTAGGGGCCCGAGCACTTGGGCCATCCTCTGCTGCTTTTCCAGGCACATTAGCAGGAAGCTGGATCAGAAGTAGAGCAGCTAGGACTCAAACCAGTGCCCATATGGGATGCCAGCAGTGCAGGTGGTGGCTTAACCTGCTATGACACCACCACTGGCACTTCATAATGATTTACAAAATATTTGAAAGGTAGAGTAAGAGTAAGAGAGAGAGATCTTCCATCTGTTGGTTCACTCCCCAAATGGTCAGGCTTAAGCAAGGAGCCTGTAACTTCATCCATCCCAGTCTCCCAAGCACTTGGGTCTGCTGCTGCTGCTTTCCCAGGGGCATCGGCAAGCAGCTGAATGAAGCAGAGCAGCCAGGGCACAAACAGGCGCTGACTTGGGATGCTGGCGTCACAGGTGTTAGTTTAACCTGCTGTGCCACAGCACCAGCCCCCTTTACTACAATTAAAAATTTAAAAAATGGAGTAGGCACGTGCATTTGGCATGGTGGTTACACTACTACCTGGCTGCCTGCACACATCAGAATAATGGATTCTAGTCCCCGTTCTGGTTCTGATTCCAGCCTCCTGCTAACGTACACCTCGTTACGCCTGACCCAATCTCAGCTGCTGCAGACATCTGGGGAGTGAACTGGCAGGTGCAAGATCTCCGTCTTTGCTTTTGAAATAAAAGTCAATTTTTAAAGGGGGCGGGGGAGTGAACCACAAACTAGGAAAACAGTTTAACTTTTACTCAGATGAAATGTTTCCCTGGTTGACTTACATGAAATCAAGCCCTTTCTGCATGGGTGACACAAGTCACTGGGGGAAATGGCTCCATCCACAGACTGGGCTTTTAATGTTACAGGCTGAAGGTCTAGCCCCGGTTCCTCAGAATGTGACCTGCTTGGAGGTAGGCCCCTTAAAGTGGTAATTTAAACCCAAGTCATGAGGGCCTTGGAAAGCAGTGGAAGACGGCCCAAGTGCTTCGGCCCCTGCACCCACGTGAGACCTGGAAGAAGCTCCTGGCTTCAGATCAGCTCAGCTCTGACTGTGTGGCCATTTGGGGAGTACCCCAGCGGATGGAAGATCTCTCTCTCTGCCTCTCTGTAACTCTGCCTTTCAAATAAAGAAAATCTTAAAACAAAGACCAAGGGACAGGAGAGATGGCAGTCACCCGCTGACCAAGGTCTCTTCTGATGGCCTTCGAAGTGACCAAACCTGCCAGTGCCTTGACCTTGGAGCTCCAGCCCAGGATGTGAAGGTGCACCCCAGCTGTGGGGGATTTGCGGTGACAGCCCCAACGGACTCATGTCCACCGACCATCCCAAACAAACAGCTCTGGACAGAGACCAGGAGCCCTGAACCCCAGCAGGCCCCTGCACCACCCTTGGAGGAGGGCACAGCAGCTTGGTTAGCCAGCACATGCCTAGGTGGCTCCAATCTCCCCAGCTGTAGACCCAAAGGGGGCCCCACCCGTCTCTGCCCACCCTCCACCTCCCTCTGGGTCACTCTGTGCTCCCTGCTGGAGGTGGCATTCTCACCACACATCTGGAATCTTCCTTTTTTTCCCCACTGGGGTGCAGTGGTTGACACCTTTGTCTTCCTCTTCCTGGTTCCCTGCAGAGGACCCAGCTGAGAGCCCCCTCACCTCATCCAATCTCAGGTGAATTAAGTTTTCATTCCAACACGAGACAAAGAGATGGTCTGATTGAACTCTTCTTTATTAGCAGCACACCTGATCCTATGGAAAACAGACCCGGAACCGGATCATTCTGACCCCGGCGTGGGGCAATGTGCCTGGAGCTGCCTGCAGCTCTATCTCTTGAACTCTACTTGTGTGTACACCTTGGTAATGTCATTGTACCTGCCTTCTGGGGGCTGGTAGTCGGCGACTGGTGGTGTGTAATGCGGCCCTTCCTTCTCAAAGGGGAACAGGCCAGGGTCCCGCTTGATGGCCTCACTGTAGAGCTCCGGGGACTCGAGCTGCAGCTCCTGCAGGGCCTCCTGCTGGGCTGCCACCAGGGCCCTGATGGCGTCCCTCTCCCTCTCGTGCTCTTGCTGCTTGTACAGGGACCACTTCTTCAGCAGCAGAGCTCGGCGCTCGCTCTCCTCAAATGACAGCTCCACCTGTGGCCGTTGTCTGCAAGCACACAAGTCCAGGGGGATGAAGCCGGGTGTGTGTGTGTGCACTCATTCTGCTGGCAGGGCTGTCTGTGGACAGCCTAGGATGGAGCATGTGCACATGCGTGGGTGCTCACTTTGCTGGCAAGGCTGTCTGTGGACTGCCTAGGATCCAGCAGGGCCCAGCCAGGCACGAGCAGGACTCAGGGACGAAAAGTGGAAGTCCTGGATAAATCAAGCAGTGTTAATGTTGAATGTGGCAGGGGCCACAGCCAACACTGGGGGCCCACATCATTCGCTTTCCACCGTGAGGAAGAAGCAAACACTCCAAGGAGACTGGGAGCCCTTCCTCTGCCCAGGCAAGGACCTTTGGCCAGAGGTGACTCTGGAGGGAACTGAGCAGGACTGAAGGCCCGTGCCGTTTCCCCCTTGAAGGCAAGGTGCTGCCGGATCAACTGCGCACACAGTTTCAAGAGGGCGGCAAGAGCTGCTCACCCAGCGCCACAACACAACCACAGCACACACCAGGGATGAGCATCTGTGTAGCAAACACAGAGGCCCTGGGCTTCCTACTGTCAGAAGGGAGCAAGGGCTGCAGGCAGACCCCAAGGCCAAGTCACCAGTCCCAGCCAAGACTCCTCGTGCAGAAGAGCAAGAAGCCCAAGGAACCCCAGAGCAGTGCGGGCCCAGACACGCTCAACCATCTGGCTGGGACTTGTCAGAGAGTTGGCTGGGACTCTTTCCCACCTGTAAGCCATTCAAGACGACCACCCAGGAAAGCTCCCTCAAGCTCCCAAAAAAGTCAGGGTCAAGGATAATAAGTGCACTCAGGCTGGGGCAAATCAACCCATTCCCAACACAGGTGTGATGTGCAGACACAACCACCCAAAAATGAGACTTCATCTGTGTGGAGGAACCCTACCTGGCTTTATCCAACAGCTTCGCGGGGGTGATAAAGTCTTCGATGGGAATCAGCTCTTGGGTAGCTTTTTCCAGCTTCCGGATCCTCTTTTTCAAGCGTTCCTTTACTGCCTGGTCTTTTTTGGGATCAACCTTCTTCTTCTTTCGCAGGGGTTCCGCCCTGATGGGTGAGAAGTGAGTATTAAACAGTTTTCTCTTCTGTCTCGTGAACACACCCAGAGATGTGCTCAATGAAGTGTCCCAATCTCTTTTAAGATTATTTATTTGAGGGACCCGTGCTATGGCGCAGTGGGTTAAAGCCCTGGCCTAAAATGCTGGCATCCTATATTGGCACCGGTTCTAGTCCTGGCTGCTCCTCTTCCCATCCAGCTCTCTGCTGTGGCCTGGGAAAGCAGTGGAAGATGGCCCAAGTCCTTGGGCCCCTGCACCCATGTGGGAGACCCAGAGGAAGCTCCTGGCTCCTGGCTCTGGATTGGCACAGCTCCAGCCATTGCGCCCATCTGGGGAGTGAACAAGCAGATGGAAGACCTCTCTCTGTCTCTACCTCTTTCTGTAACTCTTTCAAATAAATAATTCTTAAAAAAATTATTTATTTGAAAAGCAGACTTCCAGATTGAGGCAGAAAGAGAGAGAAAGAGAGAGAGAGAATCTCCCATCTGCTGGTTCGCTCCCCAAATAGCTGCAACAGCCAGGGCCAGGCCAAGCAGAAGCCAAGAGCAAGGAGCTTCCTCCGGGTCTCCCATGTGGGTGCAGGGGCACAAACACTTGGGCAGTTCTCCACTGTCCTCCCAGGTGCATTAGCAGGGAGCTGGATTGGAACTGGAGCAGCCGGGAAGCAAACCGGTACCCATACGGGAGGCCAGTGCTGCAGGCGGTGGCTTCACCCACTAGCTGCAATGCAGGCCTGCAAGTACCCCAGTCTTGTACTGAGTTCTCCTCCTGGGCCAGGAGCTCAGGCTTCCACCCGGGTGTCTGTGTGAGACCCGCCTGGGCCTCATCAACTCCAGGAGAAGGGGGGTGTTCCTTGCCAGTGCTGGGATTCAGGTGTGCCTCAGGCCTCCGCTGAAAACTATCAACCTGATGTTTTACAGCTCATTAGTCATATTTTATATGGACTTGTAAGTTATGAAACTGGTCTCAGACTCAAAAGAGGCAGTAGTCTTTATTTATTTTGGGGGATGTCTTAACACATTTCCCATCCTAGAGCACTGGCCAAAAGCCCAATTGACTCTGAGGAACACAACCTTCTTAATATTCTTCATCACAGTAGCCAATCCTCGCGCACCCAGAGCAACTGAATCAAGTCTCTAAGAAAAGCATCCAGAATCCCGGGTGGAAATACATTGAATCTTCACACCCCACCGCCAGCCAAGATCAGGATGGCAGGAGAGGAAGGCTCAAGGTCAGATTCAAGCTGTGTCCTTTTAAACACTGCAGATCCCTGTGCGTTTAATGCAAACAGATATAAGCCACGCTTAAACGCTTTAATTTTTTTTAAACACACACAGCAAGGTAGGGTCCAAAGAATGTCGGCAAGTTAGGAAGGCATCCGCCTAAGTTTCACCGTAAGAAACACAGCAGGCCGTTAGTCTGCTTTATTCGGGCCACGTGCCAATGTTTGCCTTGGCGGGACCCTCACTCAAAAAGGCCAGAAGCTGAGGTTTACCTCGTGGGAAGGAGCTCCCAGAAAGAAAACAAAGAAGCCCGCTGGTGGGTGTCTCGAATCTGGGTCCGCCAAACTCCCAGAGCCCTGAAAAAAGACCACAGTGTGTATCAATACCTGATTCCCTACCGCCCCCCCCCCCCCCAATACAGGAACACAAACGCAAGGTGCAGCGCCCGCCCAACCTGCGGCAGCTGTAAACACCGGATCTGACAGCAAGGTCAACGTGGGTAAGGGGGGCGGCTTCTCAAAATCTCCCGCCGAAGCCACAGGGCCCTCGGGCAGGGATTTCCCCCGCACGACACGCACGGTCAGCTGGCTCATCCCCGGCACATCCCGGAAAAGAGCGGCGGGGACGGAGAGCAAGGCGAGGCCCCGGACGGGCGGCCGCCGCACAGAACCCCCACCCCGAACGCACAAACACACGCCCCAGGAACCCCGAGTCCCGGCGGGGGTCCGCCCTCACCCGCTCGGCGGGCACAGAGCCCGCGCGGCCCTACGCAGCGCCGCGGCGGCGGCGGCCATGCCCCTCCTGCCGCCTCCAGGCCACTTCCGGGCGCGCGCCTCTCGGGGGTCCGGCCTGCGGTGCCACAGGCAGCGGTCCGGCCGGCGCGCCGCCCCGCGTTCCCGCGTTCCGGCCGGCGGAGGGCTGGGCTGCGATAGGCCCCGCCCCGCCCCCGGCCGCGCCCCACCCCGGGCGTCCCGGCCGCGCCGCCGCGCGCGCGCGCGGAGCCCTCCCTTCCGCCTCCGCCCCGCGCCGCGAGTCCGCCCCCGCGGCTGTCACAGCGGGAGCGGGAGCGCCCCCAACGCCGGCCCTGGGCTCCCAGCACGGCAGCCGGAGTGGCCCTGCTCCCCCGGATCTAAGTGTCCACGTTCATGAAAACGGTGCCCGATCTTCCAAATAAACGCGCCCGCCTCCGCCTCCCCGGCCACCCTCCCGGGGCCTGACTCTTGTCCTTGCATTTGTTCGTGCCCGAGGCCCCAGTCGCCTTCTGAGGCGGCGGGCGCGAGGCCTGCAACGGGCGACTAGTTCGATATCGCGTGTTGATGGATGACTAAAGTTAGTTGATAAGTCGGCCACGGACCCGGCGAGGTACACTCGGTGACAGGCGGCGACGCGTGCCGAGCTGGTCCCGCTCGCCCGGCGTCCAGGCCGCCGTCCCGATCCAAGCGCCTCCCTTGGCGGCGGCCGTGCCCCGGCCCGGACCCGAAACGGAGCCGCCCTGCGCCGCCCAGGAGCCCCCGGGCGGCCGCGGCCGCGTGGGGAGCAGTTTCCCGCCGAGGCGATTTGGCAGGTGCGCGCCGTGACTTCCGGCGTTGCCCGGGAGCCGCCGGAGGAGGAGCGGCGCAGGGGATGCGGCTGTGGTGGCGGCGGCGGCGGCCGAGCGCGGGGGGCGCCTGTGGCGGCGGCGGGGGGCGCAGGCCGGCGATGGCGCGGCGGCGCTGAGGGCGTGGGGCGGGCGGCGGCCGGCGGCCGGCGGGCGGGCGGCGCGGGAGGAAGCGGCGGCGGCGGCGGCGGCGGCTCCATGGCCCGGGCGCGCTGAGGGACGCGGCTCTCGCCACAGCCTGGCGGCGGCGGCGGCGGCGGCGGCCGAACAATGAAGCTCCTGAAGCCGACCTGGGTCAACCACAATGGTGAGTGCGCGCGGGGGTCGCGGGGGGCCGAGGCTGGAGTCCTGCCGGGGGGCTTGGTGTCAGGTCGGGGGGCGGCGCGCAGGCCCTGCCCATCCCGTCCCCCTTCCGACGCCCCGCGCCCGGTGCCCGAGCCTCTGAGCCGGCGCGAGCGGACTTTGTCCTGGGCGCGAGGGAGCCGGCGAGCCGGGGCACGTGCTCCGAGCTTGGCCCCCCGGCTCGAGTGCTGAGCCGTGCGCCGGCCGCCCGTGGTCCGGCCGCGGCCTGGCAACCTGGGAGCTGGGCCCGGGGGCCTGCAGCCCCTTGCGGCTTCGTCTGCAGCGGCCAGGACGTGCTCGGACGGCCTTTGGGTGGCGGGTGAAGATCTGAAAGCTGCAGAAAGGGGCTGTTGGCGCCCCTTGGCCGAGGCCTGGGGCTGGTGACAGTGCCCGCAGCCGGGGGTGGGGATGGGGGCTGTGGTTCCAGAACGGGAGGGCTCCGAGGCTGACATCCCCGCTGAGCCGGCGCAACAGGGTGGCCGTGGGGCGGGCGGGGGCACAGGTGTGTGCTGGGGGGTGGGCTGTGCGTCAGCGCTGTGGTCGCGGCGCCAGTGCACAGCCCGGAGGAATGGGCTCATCCCGCTCCGTGGAGTGCTGGAAGCGAGCGAGGGCCGGCAGTTTTGTCCTAGTTATGCCTTTGCCGACACAGCTTCTTGCAAGAGTTGCTCTTGGCTGCTCTTGGAGAGGAGGGGACCGAGCCCGCTCGAGCCCCAGTGCACCCCCACCCCTCTGCTGACAGCCATAAAAGCACTCCCCCCTCCGTGGGGCTGTGGCCCTGTACCCCCCCACCCCCACCCCCCAGGTTCACTCTGCTGCTTGCCTCAATTCATCACCTCTGGTCTGCAGCAGCGAGGCTGGAGAGGCAGCTACAGTTTTCTTTTCTAGCAAGAAGATACTTTTGCCCTTTGCGTACATGTAACTTTTTCGTTTTGAGCTTGATGTCACTGTGCTCTCTGTGGGTGCAACTGCATGGAAGAGAGCAGCCGGCTGTGTGCTGTCCGCGAGAAGTGCTCTGCCCTGCTGTTTTTGTTGTTCTTTCTTTCTTTCTTTCTTTCTTTCTTTTTTTTTTTTTTTAGTGTGATGTCTCACCTATTTTTCAGGGCCCAGATGAGGTCACCTTTACCTTTTGAAACCATTCCTGCTGAGTTATCCTACATGTTCCTTGTCCCTGCCCCTCTTGCTCTGCCTTGTGGAAGTTGTGGGTGGACTCTGTATATATCCCACCCCACCCCTAGGGCAGGAACTGCCTCACTTCCCCCCACCCCACCCCTCATATTCCCTGCGTAGTATGAGTATATGATAACTATTGACTAAAAACGTATGAAAGTTGAGGTTTCCATAACTTATAGAGACACAAGTGGGTTACCTGCGAGAAAGCCAAAACCCTGAGCTTTAGTTTCATATCTCCTGTTGATCTCCTGGAGCGCTTCCTGATATGTGGAGTGCAGATCTTTCCCTGGAGAACTGAGCAGGTGTTGCAACTCTACATTATGGTGCCTGTGATCGGGAAAGGAGACATTGTATTAATGACCTAGTTTGCTTTGTAAGTGAAGAGCTGGAGAGGTTTTTATTTTATGATGCTTCGCTTAAATCCGTTGGTCTGTACAGTCTACCTTCTCATCTGTTGGTTCACTCCCAAATGCCCACAACAGACAGGGGTGGACAGAGGCCAAAACCAGAAACTGCAAACACAATCCAGTTCTACCCCATTGATAGCAGGAACCCAGTTACTTGAGCTGTTGCCACTACCTGCCTAGCAGGGTCTGCCTTGGCAGGAAGCTGGAGTCAGAAGCCAGAGGCAGGAATCAAACCCAGGCCCCGGACCCAGGTGCCTTAACTGGTGCCTTTAACTATGAGGCCCAATGCCCAGCTTTCCTGTCCTCTGAAGTCAACCTTGGTCTGTCTAGTGGAGTCTTCGAGAGCACTGTGGGGTCATTACTGCTCTCACTGCCAGTAGTGATTGGTGGGTGATGCCGGGAACAGAGGCTGCTTAGCCAGAAGCCAGTGTGGGAGGTAGTGGCCGGTGAAACCTCGCTTGTTTTGGCATGGCCCAGCCTCAGCCATTGTAGGCATTTGTGGAGTAAACCAGCAGATAGAAGATCAGTCTCTCTCTGTGTCAAGTAAAGAAATAAATTCTTAAAAATTAAAAAAAGTGTATCTCCAGACATTGCCATTGCCAGTGCCCTCTGCTAGCAATGCCCAGATGAGAACTGGTGCCCAAATGGGATGCCAGCGTCACAGGTGGCTTCTTTACCTGCCATGCCCCAACACCAGCCCCAGGGACTCAGGTACTTGAGCTGTCATTTGCTGCCTCCCAGGGTATGCACCAACAGGAAGCTGAATCAGAAACCACAGAGCTTAGACCCAAACCAGGCACTTATATTTGGGATTCAGGCATCCCAAGCAGACTTAATTACTGCATCAAATGCTCACCCCTGTAGTGTTCTTTATATATTTTCATTTAGGAATGGCCAAAGTAAGCTTCATTTCAAGTTAGGTTAACATCATATATTGACATGAAGAAATTAAAGCAGCTGGGTTTTAGAGTTCATAGAAAAATGTAGTTTGTGGGACCAGCACTGGGGTGTAGCGGGTTAAGCTGCTATTTGCATATAGGTGCCAGTTTGAGTCCTGGCTGCTCTACTTCTGACCCAGTTCCCTGCTAATACACCTGGGAGAGCAGCGGAGGATGGCCCAAGTGCTTGGGCCCCTGCACCAACATGGGAGACCTGGATGAAGCTCTTGGCTCCTGGCTTCAGCCTGACCCAGCCCCAACCATGTGGCCATCTGGGGAGTGATGGAAGATCGCTCTCTCTGTGTCTCTCCTGTTCTCTCTGTTTCTGACTTTGAGATAATTTAAAAATCTTTATTTAAAAAAAGAAAAATATACTTTGTGTGTTTAGAAACTATCGTGAGCTTTCCGGCTCTGCCATCACTGATCTTTGCCCTGTGAGTTTTTCTGGAATTCTTACTCCTGGGCAGACAGTGCTTGTGCTCGGCCTTCGGTGAAGCCGGTTCTAACTAAGAAGCCAGAACTGGACGAGTTCTTGACCTCCTTTGCGTCTGATTCACGCTTTGATGGTGGTGCCATAAAAAGATACTTGGAAATTTTTCAACAGTAGGATAATTTGCCAGTTAATCATATTACTTTATGGCGTGTGCTCTTCTCTTCCCTCCACCCCAATCTTACCCCTGCCCTGTGATTGGATTATCCCCATCTTGACTCATTCCTAAAAGGACTTCAAGACATCCTAAGACATATACTTCATCAATGTGAAAATTAATGCAGCCAGCCCTCCATATCTAACTGTTCTATATCAGCATTCAACCAACTACAGATCAAAAATACTTAAAAAAAAAACCAGTGCACTTTTTTCTTGCCATTTTTTAAGCAGATTTATTTATTTGAAAGTCCGAATTTCAGAAAGATGAAGAGACAGATCTTCCGTCTGCTGGTTCGGTCCTCAAATGCTCACACAACAGCCGGGGCTGGGCCAGGCTGAAGCCAAGAGCCAGGAGCTCCATCCAGGTCTCCCACGTGGATGCAGTGGCCCAGGCACTCGGACCATCTTCTACTGCTTTCCCAAGCATTAAGAGGGAACTGGGTCAGAAGTGTAGTAGTCAGGACTCAAACCTGTGCCCAAATGGGATACCACTGTCGCAGGCAGAGACTTAACATACTATGCCACAGCGCCATCCCCACCCTTATTTCTTAAACAATACATTGTAACAACTATTTATAGGATCTTTACATTGTATTGGGTCTTATAAGTAATCTAGAGATGATTTAGAGTACATGGTAGGATATGCATAGATTTCATGCAAGTAATACTGCATTTTATATAAGAGACATGAGCATCCTTGGATTTTGGTATGGGGGTGGGTGGGTGGGGGTCCTGGAACAAGTCATCTCAGATAGGCAGTCAGCTTGAAGGGGAAATGCAGGCTGATGATCCAGTAATGAGTCAGGGGTGAGTGTGGTAAGGCCCAGTGCTGCTGGTGCAGGCTTACTTTGGACATATGTCAGACAGTAGTCAGGGAGGGTGTCCTAATGGTGATATTTTATGATGCAGTCGTTGTGAGATGAACTTAGCAGTCGCTCTAGATCAGGAGTTCTCCAACAGGGCATGACTGGAGGCAGTCTTGTTTTTCGTAACTTGCCGGGAACTGGGACACGCGTGCTGCGGGTATCCTGAGGCTAGAGGCCCAAGCCTGCTGCGAAACATCCTGCCACACATAGCAAGGCCCTTACCCAGAAATCTCCAGCCCCAGGCAGCAGTAGTGCCAAGGGCCAGAAACCCGGCTCTGGGTAAAAAAAAGTCCATCCATGGTCTTTGCTTTTTCATGTATTTGTCTCATTAATTCCAACTAGATTATGTAGATATAATTACATATATAACTAGTTCCTTGAGAAAAGGGGCCTCTGTGCTCTGCTGCTTACTACAGATGTGACATGGAAGGCTTTTTCCACCTCTTTCCCTAATCCGTTCAAGGCTTGTGACGGCTCAGGAAATGCAGTTTTTCTCTGCAGTGTCTATCTCACTGATTTATGCCTGAGGGCAGGAGGTTAATTTAGGAAAATATACCCTTGAAGAGGATTCTCAAGAAACCTGAGCAGGATTTTGCCTTAGATAACAATGCATGTGGCCTTTTCCCTAATTCATACAGCAAACGCTGGACCTTCCTGGTGAGTGTCCAGTGGGGATCTGGAGGTCAGTAGGGCTCTCCCTGTGCAGAAGGTGGAGAGGTAGACACCCAGACTACATTCCAGAAAGCAGGACAGACAAAAGCTACTGCAGGGATCCCAGGCTGGAGGGGCTTGTCTCCAGTCATCTGATTTGTGGCCATGACCTTGGGC